GTGTACCGTTGCTAATATAAAAATAATACAGAGATTTCTCATCCATCATGTGTGCATTAAATATTTTTTTGAAGGAATTTTTTTCTAAATGTCAAATATTTATTTTAAAGTCAAGTGATTCTACATCTCTGGAGTTTTCCCAAATTTGAAGACAAATGTTTTGGATTACGGACAAGCCAGGTTATTGTATTTCGCCATAAAAGAAAATTATATTCAAGAAAACAAATTGTGTTAAAAAAGGTATTAAAATCCTAACTTTAATGTGATAGACAACGGAAATATATTTAAAAAGTTCCAAGGTTTAGCAAAACCGTTTTAAACCTTTTTACAATATATCCATAACGATTAATACATTCTTCTGAACATCCTAATAAACAAAAAATCACTCTCATATTTCTACGTACAATATGATCATAAAATAAACGATTCACTTTTAAAGTCATACTTAATTAGATTTAATATTAAATGTTGTTGTTGTAAGTATGATACAAAAATGTATATCTGATGAACTTTTTCGGGAACGTCAGTGGTCTACACTGTGTACTTCCTACCATGTGTAAACGACCGCCAATAAAAAATCTTAACTTTGACTTTGAGATTTTTATTATTTGTTCTTTTAATTCCCGGGCGTTCTATAGATACAAAAAATATGTATGTGTGTGTTGTGAGAATTTTGTTGACTCGGAAATTAAAACGAATTTTCCTTAATTCCGGCTTTGTCACAGACATATTCACATATATAATAGAAATACACATGTATTGACATGCTACACAAGCTGCAGAAAATCTCTTGTCCCCTAATTTGTAACGGCTAAAGCTATCACATTGATCATCATTATTTTCTAGAGGCATGAAACATAATTTGTATGCAGAAAAACTTATTATTAATAAATACAAAATATATAATTTAAATATTACGTTTTTTTAAGCAAACCTCTCTAAAAGAAATACCACAAATTTACTGCGAAATATCCCCAAGTATAGTTGTTTTTGTTGCTGAATATTGCTTCCTTGTCTTGGAATTGCAACATCAATCGCTCAAATAATTTTGCAACATAAAAACTTTATCGTTTCCACAAGGCGAGTCTAAGAGAGAGTGTGTGTCAACAAATGATTGCAGAGAGACCACCACCACTATGCAGGTGAGAGTCTTATGTTGATTGCTTGTTTCGTTTTTTTGGATTGCTTGGCGGTAACAACCAAACATAACCGGAAAATTTTAGTTATTTCGGGCTACTATAAACATATTGTAGTATTCAGTTTTGTTATTTACAATACAACAAACAAGATGTTAATATTACGTTTTTTTTTTTTGTTAACTGGAAACAATCATATGCAACAATAGCGGGTCAAGTACAATTTTTGCAAATATGTTGTCACAGTTTTTAAAATTTTCGTAACATATAAATTCTTTATGAGGGTCATCTGAAAATCATGGCATTAAAGCAGGGCACAATTATCCACTGATTTGAAACTAATTTCATTTCCAAATCTTGGGTGACTTAAAACCATACAATTAATATGATATTTGAATTGTTTGCCAATAACGTATATTTGAATATACATATATTCAAAACTACAATTTTTATTGCGTGTGAGAAATAAGAAAATAAGATTGATTTCCTTCGAGTCAGCCGTCAAACTTCTTACAATGTCCGAACAGAAATGTCTAGTTTATATTGTAGTTTCAAAAACAAATTCAGTTTCAACATTTAAAATTCCTTCAATTTGAAGTTGTTTTAGCATAACTACATTGATCATTGATTATTTAACAACCAAAAAATAAATATTAACAAAATAAGAATTAGTTTTTATATATGAACCAGTGTACCGAATCACCCTACCGAATCACCCTAATATTTGATTATTGAGGCACAGGGGATCCACTCGAATTGCTTTATAGAAGAATAATATTCATAATATTATTCCTTAGCTTCCAAGACCAAGTTAACTCAGGGATGATGGACACACACATATTAAGTAAATCAAATGGTGTTTGCTCCAAAATTACACTTGTTTGGTAAAGTTCTAAAAACACGGCCCTTTGTCTCTAGAGACTACACATGTAATAGGTGCATCGTTCTAATATGCTCGGATGTACCCGAGGAATATTTCAATAGTCCACTAGGTCTGCTACATTTTCATCAAGCATTGGTTCACGACGCAATACGGCCTAAGCCTTGCTTCGCCAATGGCTGCCACAACCGCCATACATAAGAAGAGTAATGATGCAAATAATTTGCAATTTAAATTTGTATATTTATTTATAATAAATGTTAAATCATTTAATTTGTATATTTATTGTACTCACATATGTATGTAGCTCCATATCACTCAATACTCCCCATCCCAATTCCCCAATCCACCATTTCATAGAGATGTTCACATTTCCTATTCACTCATCCAATTCACGTGTTGGCAAACGAATGATTTGTCCACAAAATTTATAGATTTCATCATCCAATTGACAATGTCCTCATCAATTGTCCTTCAGTTGGCCCCAATTAGCTTTCCTTCCATTTGGGTTGACGCGTAACGCTTTTTGGCGCGTTAATGTTTGACATTTTAATTACAGTGCTGCCATATTCAGAAATTATTTTTGTTGTGCCGAAAGAACGGTGAACATGGTGGCAACATTATCGAATGTTTTATGTCAGCTGTTTTGCCAATAGTGTTGGGATTTTATAGTTCAAATGAATGAACACTTTATTTAATATTATCGATATGGAGCCCTATCTCTTCTAACGCCGACGATTTAAACGCGCCGACATTGTAATCAGAAAGGACGGGACTTTAGAAGTTTTTTTCATTCGAAAGGACGCCAAAATTGAAATTTCATTAACTTTAGTTACAAAAGATTGACGTCTCGATTCAATTGTTTTTAATTGTAAGTTCAAAGTAAATTAATTGTTTTATAAAGCCTTAATACCAGCCAGCAAACAAAGTTCTTACAGCTAGCCAATCCTAGGAGTTACAGGAGTATAGAAAGTAATTTTACGTATGTTCGATCGAATCTTTTATTCTAGAAAATGTCTTACCAGCGAAGATGTTGCATCAAAACATGCGAAAACTCTAAGATGAAGCATTGTCCTATGGAAATTAGTGTCCATCGTGTTAAAGATGAATGGAATGAAATGTTATATTATATAGAATAGAGACTAAAAAGACGCATAAACATTTTTGCACAAATTTTAAGCCGTATATGTTTAATAAGGGGGCAGATGTACGACTGTTAACAACAGTTGCGAATTCATGTCGATTATTATATTCGATTCCACCAATACGTCGTACGACACCTATTAAACCTCCTATTGGATGTATAGTACGAATATTACCCGCTGAACTCTATGCGGTACCTATTACGACTACCGGCTGGCTCTATTGCGCTTATTGAACACACGTCATTGCCGGAATTTAATGGAATATGTAAGTTTTGTTCCTTTTGATATTTTTTAATTGTGGTTTTCCTTTTTTAATTTGTAACTCATATTATATCAATTTAAAATAAATTGAAAACAATAAATAAATTCGATGAATTTGATGTTTCCATGTGTTTGTCGATTGTCATATTTTGAGCTGACTTTTATTAAGGGGACCCCCCCCCCCCCATTCTCGGGGTTAAAATTGTTGTTGATATAATTCGAATCTACACTAATTAAACAATGTCCCTACAAAATTTCAAGTGAAAATCTCAAGAACTCTTGAAGATATATGATTTATTGTGTCAACATCAAGTGACGACTGAAGGGCTTCTTAAACTTTAAACGAGTTTTTCTCTAAACATTTTTTTGCGAATGGCGGGCACGATAACTCAAAAACTAATAATCCAATCGGTTCCAAATTTTGCAAGGCTTCTCTGGGAGTGTATAGCTCTCGTACGAACTAGGATAAAGCCAATCGGTGAAGATCTTCCTTATTTTTTAACTTGGTTTTTGGTAAAAAATCGGCGATTTTCCAAAAATATTTTTTCAAAGGTCCACCATTTTGTTAATTTTAGAGCGAAGTCTATAATCCTAGTTCATACGAGAGCCAGACATGTACTCTTTCTAACACCGTTGGAATTTTCGGATTCTGATGTTCCAGTGAGGAGTTATCATGCCCGCCATCAAAAATAAGGACTTTTCTTTAATTACAAAAAACAACAACAAAACAATAACAAATTTTTTTTGTAAATTATTTTTCTTCTCTTTTAAATCTTCAATTATATATGTGCAAAGTTACAAACCTCCACAAGCATTAGTATTGATTTACCAGCCCATTTAAAATCTTGAAAAATTACAATCGAGAATGGGGGGTTCCCTTAAGTCCAGATCTGATTGCGTCATATTAAACTTACTAAATCTATTGACCGTACCTTATTTTGACTTGAACGTGGGTTTAAACAAAACTGAGATTAACGGTTCAGTTTTTTTTTTTTTTGTTATCGGTACCATCGGAGTGATTTGCCTATGAACAAATCAGATGGTGCTGGTGGCACCATCGCAATTGTTATCGGCACGGCGCCGAAATCATCTGTTCTCTGTTTAATGCAAAGCTGATTTAATAGGGCAGCCGCATCAGCAAAGCTGTCCGTACAAATAACTGTCAAAAATTTTGTTTTAATATAAAATTAAAAAATTAAGAAACAAAATAGTTAATGAAAATCTCCGCATTTTGAAGAGCTTCTTCGGCAATACATTTATTAAAATTTTCTGAATGAATTTGTGTAAAAAACCTTACGAATCGGTTTGTTTTGGCAAAATATGTTTGACATATCAGTGTACTACAACAATTTTTTGTTGTAATAAATTGGTGATGGGGCTACCTTGGTTTAATGGCTGCCAACCTTTCTGCTTATGTTATGTCTGATTAGAGAGCACGACCAGCACACACAGCCAGCAGCGAGAAGATATAAAACTTCTAATCAAAACGGAAAAAACTGTCAATTCTTCAAATAAATATGAACATTGAAGGTTGCAGGTTCCCAGTAAAGCTTTCGAAGTAGGAGTTTCTAAATAAATAACATATGGGCCATGGATGCATCTGATTTTGTTTTGGGCGGTTTTGCCAGTGTGGGGGCCACCTTCTTTACCAACCCCATCGAAGTAAGTAGTTTTCTTGAGTAATTTGAATGAAAACTATTGTGAAATTCATTTAATTGGTTAATTTGTCATTTTTTTGTTCTTAAAGGTCGTCAAGACACGTATTCAACTTCAAGGTGAATTGGCGGCTCGCGGTACTTATGTGGAACCATACCGGGGTATTGTCCATGCCTTTGCAACGGTGGCCAAAAATGATGGTTTGACCGGACTTCAAAAGGGTCTAGTACCAGCTTTATATTTCCAATTTATTATTAATTCATTTCGGTAAGGATTAAAGGATATTTCGAAGTAGAATTTTATATTGAAATTATTTTTTTTTTTTTTGTATAGTTTAAGCATTTACAATATGGCCTTAAACAAGGGATGGATGCATAAGAAAAATGGTGAAGTATCATTTGGTCTGGGCCTGTGTTGGGGTGCTGCGGGTGGTGCCATTGGTTCCTATTTTTCTAGTCCATTTTTTATGGTAAGTGGAATAAGAAAAAGAATATTGAAATTTTGTCAAAACAACATAACAATTGAGTTTATTATTTTGTTTTGCATAATTATTTTATTTATAAAAAGATAACAGTAAGACTTATTGCTTTTTTTATCAAATTAGCAATGTCATCATAATTATCTATAACTACTGCCATTTGAGGCATACATCACCCCCATATCACATATCATAGAGAGGAATATTTCCGTGTAGTTGTTGTTTTTTTATTTTTATTATTGTGTAATTACCAAATTTGCCTGGAGCGCTTTGTTTACATTTGAACGTCTTTTCTTTTTATTTTGATAAGAATAAGATTAGTTTTTTCTTAACAATATACAATGATAATGCTTAATGACAAGTGTACACAAATTAACTAATAAATGCTGTATTAAAAAGTTATATTGATATTTATAACATTCCTAAAAAATAACAATAACAACATGTATTGAAACGTACCGATTTCAATTGATCAATATTATACAATACAATCGCTATAAATTTATTTTGATGTACGCTTAATAATCGATATAACTATGAAAAGTGAGATCAGATTTAACAGGAAGTAATTGCACTTAGGAAACACTGTCATATTCCTTATTGCCATACAGCCTCCATTATATCATTAATTATTTTACTCACATGCTCGTCATTTTAATTTACATCTTATCAGCATTTTCGCCAGACATGATATTGTCTATTTTGTGTATTTTTTATTGCTTAGTAACCCATGTGCCTAGTTGTAAGAATAGAAACAAGTGAAAACAAACTCTAATACGTATTTACCACTTCGCATTCCCGCATAGGTTAAAACACAACTACAATCACAAGCTGCAAAGCAAATTGCCGTTGGATACCAACATGCCCATACCGGCATGATGGATGCCCTATCACAAATCTATAACAAGCGTGGAATCTATGGCTTGTGGCGCGGCTCCATGGCTGCCATACCACGTGCTGCTATCGGCTCCGGAGCACAAATTGCCACATTTGGCAAAACCAAATACATGCTCAAACAATACGATATTGTCACTCAGCCTACATTGAATTCGTTTTGTGCCGGCCTTATTGCTGGCTCCCTAATGTCGGTGGCCATAACACCGCCAGATGTCATTTCAACTCGCCTCTACAATCAAGGATGGGACGAACGTGGCCGTTACAATGGTTGGCTAGATTGTTGTGTTAAGATATTAAAATCAGAAGGTATTTACGGTTTGTATAAAGGATTTTGGGCCAATTACCTTAGAATAGCACCACACTCAACGCTAGTTTTGTTGTTCTTTGATGAATTGCTTTTGGTGCGTGATAAATATCTACAGGATAAAAGTAATAGGCATTAAACTACTACAAGTCCACTTGTTAATTGTGCAATATTTTGAATTGGAATCCAAAGGATATTTTTTGTTGTGATTTTATTTTTAAACAAAATTATTGATTTTTATATAATTTTGAAGATTTTCTTCTTTTGTTATTTGTTATTGCTTGGCCAGTACAAAGAACAAATTTTTAACATACATAGTTGTTAAGCTTTTTTCGTAGTTTTTTTACGATAACTCAAAAACCAAAAAAAGTGCCTTCCAACCCCGCAGAGAGTCTAATTAGTTTTTAGTTACTTACAAAAACACAAAACAAAAACATCCACTAACAATAAACTAAAACAGAATTGTTGAATAAATAACAAAATTGCAAAGAAATAATGGAGTCTTTCTCTTATTATTTTCCTTGGGCGGGAAACATGATGGCTGCCAGAAAAACAAGGTTCGTATTAAACATCTCATTTGGGATTTTTTTTTTTGTTCTTGTTTCCTTTATTTGTAATTTACACATATTGGTATTAGTAATTTTGTTTCTTTATAAATATACGCAACATTGTACATTGTTTGTTTATTTATCTTACATAGTTTGTATTGTTGTTGTAAAAATGCATAAAAATATTGAATGTTTTGCTTTTGTTGTTTTATTGTTTTAAGTATATATTTTCTGTATATCGTTTACTAATACTAGTCTCATTTCATTTTAATAAGAAAACAATGGCTCTTAAAACACAAGTTAACAATTAATTGAGAGAATATTAGTTTAGTTTAAGTCTTAGGCAACTAGTTTTTTTTTTTTTAATTTGTTAATAATAAAAAATCTAAACTGAGAAGAAGAAAAAAAGGAAAGAAATACTTCGAATAAGCAGTATTTTGTATATATGTATGTCTTTTATAATGTGGGGGAGGGTCTTTCTCTTGCTTGAGCAATTAAATTGACATTGAATTTTAACAACTAGATATATATGTAAAAAAATAAATCGTAAAAAATGTTATCTCATAAATTAAGTGTAAAAAATATGTTAAAATTAAATACTGTTAACTTTTTTTGTTTAAACATAATGGCATTAACATTTACAACTTATACATTTTTTAAGCAGCTAAACAATTAATTTAATGCTAATGGCACTACAAAGAAAATCGTATAAAACATGTTTTGTCTTTTTGATATATGTATGTATATTAAGGAAATGGGGGAGATAATTTGTATATTCGAATGTTGTGTACATAATATTATATTATAATTTTGTTTGTTTGTAAAATTATTGCATTTTACTTATGTGTATATATATTGCTACATAGATCGGTATATTATTATTATTATCAGGCACTTAGAAACATAGTTTCTTGTTACTCATTCATTCAAAAATACATTTTGTTTGTTTTCATTTTATTTTTCACTATACACTAATTATTGATGTTTGATTTGAGCAAACTTTCCGAACCAATTTTCAGCATTCGTCAATGGCAATCTATCATCTTCGTTCGTTTTCGTTATTAATTTCTACATCGAGTATTATGTTTATGGAGATTCTGGTATTTTGGTTGTTTGTTGGTTGGTTCGTTGGCATGTAACAACAAAGTTAACATTTGGTAAAGAATTGAGACCTCGAAACAGGTTGTCGTTTCTGGGCTTTTGTCGTTTCATGTTCGGAATTTCGATTAATGTGTGTTGATGAGGTTGTGGTGGTTGTTGTTGTAGATGACGATGATGATGAAAGAAATGTGGACGGTGGTGATGATTTTGTGTATGGTGAAGACGATGATGATGCGGTGGTATATGTTTCCGTTGATCTAATTTCATTAACTTTACTATTATTATTGTTGTTGTTGCTGTTGGTATGAATATTGTTTGTCTTGGCATTTGAGGATGACAGCGATTGTTTTTTCTGATCGGTCAATTTGGCATTTAAACGATGCACTTTTTCCGGACTTAAAATAGTAAGGCGATTACTGGGTTTTGTTGATTGTGTTGCGATACTACGATTTCTAGATGCTGCTAAAACAACAACACCAATAACATAAAAACGTTAATAATTCATCTTTCATAAAATTTCATTGTCACTTACTTGTGGGTAAATCTGGTGGCTTTGTGGCTGACACACGTTTGGCTTCACTCGATTTGGTCGGCGACAGCGTGCGTCGACTAAAACTTTTTGTCTCCTCATTTCTGGTGGGTGATGCCAGATTCAGCGTTCTACGTAAACTTAACAAATTACTTGACACCTTCAGCCTACCACTACCACCAAGAGTCTTTTTGGTCTGATTCGTTGGTGCGGACTCCTCCAATGGCGACGTTGTCGTCGGTGTTATATCCAACGATGTTATGTAGCTTTTAAATGTTCCCTCTTTGGGTAGTTTTGCTCTTTTCGCCGGACTGGTTTCTTTCTTTTCATTTTTCTGCGGATCGATTAGCGAGATTTTATCTAAATTTTCCAAAGAATCCGAATGGGGTTTATAGAATTCTGTCGGCTTTTGTGGTGTCAATTTGCGACCAAACACCGGTGTTTGATTAACCCTGTATGTGTTCTTCACACCATCGGGACTATCGGCTGATTTCGTTGACTTCAAACGCTGGAACATTTTCAAAGACTCAGGTGGCGATTTGAAAACATCCTCCGATGTGTTTATTTTGAACAGAGATCGCATTGAGTTTTGTGAGTTGTTAAAATTCTTACGGTTAGCTTCCTCTATGGCATCAAATTTAGTTTTACACAGATTCAAACGCGTTCTAAAATCTTCAAGAGCTACTTTGTACGATTTATCGGCAAGATTACGTTTAATATTGTTCAGAGAATCCAGAGATTTCTGTTCCTCATTAGCTGCTATTTGGCTATTTTGGCTTATTAGTACATTCTCATCGTTTTCTTTCTGTTTCTCAATTCCCAAATCTGGAGATTTAAATTCCTCTCCCACTTCTTCTTTTGTCGTAGTGAGAGAGTTTGGATTTTTCGTTTCCTCCTCAGGCTTACTACTCTCCCTTGGAATTGGTGTCTCATCCATACTGACATTGACTTCATGGTAATTGAGACTGGTATCACAACTCGAATCAAAGTCTGAAAGATTATTCAAATCTCTGACATTGTTGATGTGCAAAATGCCACTGCGATTTATGTCCAATATGAAACCTCTGTCCAGGTTGCGTTTATGCTGTGCTGTTTTACTTTTGTGACTATCATTTTGCAGTGTTTCTTTGACAGCTTCCAAAACACGCTCAGTGCTTTGATTTTCAACTGAGCTCAGTGTGTTCTGTGCCTGTAAGAAACGTTGCCTTCTTCTGGCCCGCATACTGTTGTGAATACGTTCTCCAGACGGTGAGAAATCTTTACCCAAATGTGGAGATTTTGGTATGCCATCCGGCAGCAGGAAGTTACTATCCTGTTTGTTATCCTCAAACGCATCACCCAGCGCATCTTCTTTTGGAGTATCTGCAGTGGGGAAAATTGGTTTACCCGGCGTCCCAACTTCATCTAAATTATCACGACTTAAATTGGATTTCGGCGTTAGAATATCCACAGGCGTTGAACAAATACTGCCACCTTGATAGCTATCTATGTCATACAGCAGTTCATGGGGCACAGGCTGATTGGATGATATAAATGTTTTCAAACTATCCAGCCACACTTCCAGTATCTCAAACGAGGGTCTAAAACGGACATTCGTTAGAGGGACTTTTTCATTTAAATACGAACACTGTACCTACCTCTTGTCTGGGTTTAAATCACAGCAGAGAAATGTTATTTTGTAGAAGGCTTCGGGGCATTGATTGCAAAATGTTTCACGAAACACTTTTTGATTTAGGCCAAAGTCAGATGTGCGTGGCAGAAAATCTGGATCCGCTTGGACACGTCCAATGATCTAAAACCAAGAAAACAGACGCAATTGAAATAAATGAAATCCTTTACAATTTCAAACAATTACCTCGCACAACACAATGCCAAACGAGAAGACATCAACCTTCTCGTCGTAGATATGACCTTTCATCATTTCGGGAGCCATCCAATAGGGATTGCCCACCACCGTGTAACGTTGCCTACGCTGTCGACTTTTACTCCTGCCCCATGTACCCGTTTTGCTGGCACTACTGTCCGTTTGTGTCGGCTCTGTGCATTTTGTACTCAGTGAGGTGTTGATAATTCGCGCCAATCCAAAATCGGCCACAATTATGGTTTTGTCTTCTCTAACCAAACAATTCAACGAGTTCAAGTCCCGATGGATTATATTTTTGGAGTGCAGATAACACATTCCACAAGCTATATCTTTGGCAAATGAAATTCGTTCTGTCCACGTGAGAGGCAATCCGGAGTCATGTAACAGTTCCTTCAGCGAACCCCCGGCCACATATTCGGTAACCAAGTGCAATCGTTTGTCCTTGTACAGTACTCCAATGAATTTCAACACATTCTTGTGATTCAAAGACTTAAGAACGGCCACTTCCTTGAGGAAATTCTCCTGGGCAGTTTCATCTACGCGGTAGAGCTCTTTCAACACCATGACCTCCTTGGTATTACGATGTGTAACCTTGAATACCTGGCCAAAGAAGCCTTTGCCCAACATTTCACCGACCACCAGATCAGAGGGACGAAATATACGCGAAGATTGTTGTTCCACACGAAAGGACTTTGTCCTGGATAAATCGTTCATTTCCTGTGATTGGTCAGGATGATGTTCACCCATGAGCTTTGACATGCTTGAACACCTCTCCTTGCCACGAAATGAAATTGACGTCGTACTGTTCGTTTCGCTGTTCGAGGTATTATTTAGCAAATCGCTTGCAGCCATTTGGTTGAGGTTCTTGTATTTTCGCAGTTGTCGTGTTTTGGTTCCACTAATGTAGCCCTCATCTTTTCTCTTGTAGATTCGTTCCTTATCCTGTTTCGTTAGACGTGTAGGCGAGCCACCGTCATTGTGGCTTATTGCTGTGGTGGCTGTGCTTGTGCTGCCGCTACTCTCGTAGGTACGTCCAAACACTTCAACACTCGATGCAGAGGTTGCCAAGGGCAAGGACACTTCGCTGGTGACTTTTTTGATATCCACATTACTGCAGCTGCGACACACCGACAAGGGATCGTGCTCCACCGTCAGCTGCAGGATCTCTGTGCTGCGTATCATTTTGTCGATTTGCTCGATGGAATTGTCACTAACCGGTGTACCGTTCACCTCCAATATACGATCTCCCACATGCAGGTTGGTGAGATTTACATCAATTCTATCGATGCGATAAATGAAATGAATTATTAGTTTTAACAGATCTTGTCATGGACGAGCCCTTGATGGCTGCAGTTATGTGATGACAAATTATTGTTGATTATTACCTATAAGCCCCACAACACTGATCAATAACCGATGTGATTAGGGAGAAAACGTATTTGCCAACACGTCCATAAACTCTACAAATGAGTCTGGTAGGTTTTAGTTTTGTTTGTTTGTTTGCAGAGACCAAAGGAATTAGGGTATGCGTTTCGAAAGAGAAGATGATTGTTGTTGGTGTGAGGAGAAGAAGATTGAAGATTAGTAGTGCCAATTACGAATGAGTTCAGTTTGTTGTTATTAGTTATTAGTAATGCAAACGACTACAACACTTATGGGAGGGAGCCTATATAACAAGTGTATCATGATTGTTTTTGTGTTTTCGTATGGCTAGAAATACCTATATGTGGTTGTCACATATTTATTTATATATATTTTGTTATACTCTGTGTCTGAGTGAGTGCTGCAAAGAAACAAACCGCTTTCCTTCGACCAGCCATAGCGCTGATAACAAAGAAGTAAGTAGTAATACATACCTATATATGTACATATATAAATAAATAATGAAAACAGTGACGACACACATAAAGGTAACAATATAAATGTATAAAATGTATTATTGGTGGTGATATCTAAAGTTAAGGATTAATAATAATGATATTTGCATTGCGAAATGAATGAATGAATCGATCGATAAGGTAAGTTACATATTTTCGATAAAAGAACCAAATGTAGCCAGAGATGTGGTGGTAAACGATATGAAGTTGGTGACTTCATCGTTCTCCACATTCAATGGCTGACATTTTCCTTCTGTGGTTAATTTGAATTTGCAATTTGTTACTATATTTACTCACTCAGAAATGCGAACAGCCGGGCATAATTCCGAAGAACTGCCTGTCAGAAGGCCAGCCTTTCCATCTACTGTCGATGTTGATGCTGAATTGTATACGCGGCCATACCAATTATCCGCATTGCTCAAATGATGATGACGCTGTGCCACATTTATATTATCAACGGATAACCGCAAGCTTGGTGTGACATCTTTTGGTATTTCCACTAACCGAATCGAGTGTAGTGGTTTGACGCTCTCAAAAGCCGGACTTGCGGAATTTGTCAGTTTCTTGTAGCAAGTGTCACAATACAGTTTTGAACGTTCCAGCAAAGCAAATGCTTCGCCATAGCCGATGAACGCTCGACAGTTCGTACAGCAAAAACATTCCGTGTGAAATTTGTGATCGCCAGCCACCATAACAGGGCCGGATATATAATTGCTACAGTGTTGGCATGCCTCACCGAATCGTTGGTAGTAGTCATCTCGACAGAATAGCAAACCTTCCTTTTCGAAATACCAATTGTGTAAGTGATTGTCGCATACCGAACAGCGAAAGCAGTCTGTGTGCCATTCCTGGCCCAAGGCTATGGTGTAGTCCTCATCGTTTGAGGAATATAATTCATTGAGGCAGCCAGCACAGGTTGCAGTCAAACGAGGCAAACTTTGGGAATTGTTGTTAGTACAAGATTTTTGTAAATGTGATTTTATTGTTGGTGTTGTTGCTGCTGCGTTGGAGGACATGTTCAATTTGCCATAGGAACGTCATATAAGTAATCTGTAAATAAAAAACACAGCTCATATTAATATTTCACGTTGGTGACTCGATGTTCAGACAGCCTTATGATTGACTTAATGTGTATTTTATCGCATTCCTGTTTGGCTTGTACCTTGGTCAAGTTAGTGGCGCGTACTCGCAAATTATCATCACCAGCGCAGATGACCCCTAATAACACAGCTAATGTTTTCAGTTGTTTGTCATTGAAAATGAAGCAAGTAAACACAGATTTGTGGCTCCGCTCGCTCGTTGGCTCAAGTGATTCATTCACAAACACACAGTACAACAACAATACACAACACCAATTCAATCAAGAAACCAACCAACAAACCTGTGTGTAAACAACAAAGGTACAAACAACAAATATTTTGCAAGCCACTTTATCACTCCATCCATCCGTTGAATTTCATTTTCTGTGTATTTCATTTCTAATATTTATATCACACGAACATTTGACGTTTTAACTCTTACCTCTTGAAGAAATTTAGAAGAAAAAAACATGAAAATAAAACGGAGTTTGGGATTTTTCGCCTTGAATTAATGGAATCAATATGTCAAACCCACACACACATTTCATAGTTACTACCTTTGGTATAGGTGGTGTGGCTATAGGATATGGCAACACAAATCTTGTAATGTGACATTGATATGGTAACATTATATTGCAGTGTAATAACGGCTGTTTCGGCTGTCGTCGTTTCCATCCCACACCATTCGTAAACAATCCAGCTCCCATTTAGTCTCCATGCCACCTCATTCGTAACTTTCGGTTCTCCACTTTGAATTCTTCTTTATCTTAATAATCTTAATAATATATAATAATTATATACATTTATATAAATCAATTAATCTAGTTCCAATCGTTCATTTCAATGAACTGTGAGTTGAACTTTAGTTTAATGTTATCTTGCATCTCTATTTCGTCTGTCGTTTGTTTTGATTCTGCTTTCGTTTTGAGATCTATTTCGTATAATTTCGCAAAGCCGTCGAAATAGAATTTGTAATACCGCCGTCGATTATAAAAATGCTGTCATTGTAATCAGAAAGAACGGTGCGTACTCCACTCGGTTCCTCTAGGAATAACAGAGGATTCCTTAGGAATATATATATATATATATTATAATATATATTGAAATCCTGTGGTTTGTATAGGAGAATCAGTTGTCATTGGTAAAAGACACAGGCACGACCTGACAACTTGGCTGAGCTGGAGATTTATTTCGATACAAAGGACACAATACAGGATTAAAGGCTAGCAATATGAGCTCTCTATTTCGTAGCCTTAGCGGATCATCCAGCAAACGGGAAATAGCAGTTAAGGAGGCAATATTAGAAGCATTGCAGGAAAATGTAAAAGAAATTGAATACGACGTGCAAGACAAAAGAGAAGGTCAGTATAACAACAAACAAGCAAAACATATATACGACACTACACAAACAAAACAATGGATGCAAATACACGATTTGAATGAACAATGTAATTTAATTCGAAACTTTTCTGCAATTCAATTAGTTATTGTTCTTTACCATTCCAGGGGTGGTTCTTGAACTCTGTGAGAGTTCCAATAATTTGGTAACTACCATTGAGGCTGTTTTTCTTCACGGTCTTAAGGATTCATTTCTATGGCAGACCTTAAATATTATTGCCGAAGTGGAAAGCGAACGTAGACCCGAACCAAGTTTCTATTCACCAATTATGATATTTCTACACAAAGAAGTGATTGAACAGGTAAAATAGAAATACTTTCTGTTCCTTTAAGCGCAGCTCATCTAATCCATTCAATTTTGTGATTATTACAGCTAACTTCCCTTACACAAGTGACCTCAGAAGTTGGTATATGTCGTGCCTGGATACGTTTAAGCCTCAACGATGGCTTACTTTCTTCTTATCTAAATAATATGGGTAAAAACTCTTCATCCCTTAGTCCATATTACAAAAAGTATGCCTTAATAAAAGACGCCTCACGTCTCGAGAGAGCTATTCACCTGATAAATAACGTAGAGAGTTTGGTACAATTTAAGTTGCCATATAATACTAGTCTAATGAACCAATGGCCGGACCATGCTTTACAATTGTCAGGACTATGGACACCCACAATGAAATCATGCCCCATCAGCAGTGGTTTGGATATTGCCGGTTCACTGATTGAGGAAACGAGGGCTATTCCCATGCCACAACCATTGTGCACAAATCAGCTTTTTTCAGAATCTATTTCGAATAGTCCGTTCCAGAGGAGCGCAACCTTTGGGGCCGATGATGTAAATACCCGAATGAATGTCGATTTATTTTTGCAAAAAGTTGAAGAAATGGAAGAAGACGCTGTGGGTGAGGAACCAATCGCAGATCAACAATCACCCTTAACTAGTGAAGCACCCAAAGAAAATATTGAGACATGTGAGGAGGTCAATCCATGCGGTAGCAATTCTCTTAGTAATCTCATGCAGAAATCTTGGTGTTCTGATATGAATTATGGTGACAATAATTCCCAAGATCGCCCATTTCATTTTCAAAGATCCCTCAGTTTGACCAGCTCGGCAAGTTCATTGCGATCTCCGGCAACAGATCGTTGCAGTTATAATGCCTTATTACGCAAACATGAAAGGCAACGAGAAGTGGACTGGACAGAGGTGTGGGAAAAGTTTTTGTTACAAAACACCACCGGCATTGCCGTTTCTCAGTCCACCTTGAATTGTGATGAAGAATGCGAATCAAACAAATCCGACTTTGAGGTTGTATCTGGCGGTTCTATGGAGAAATTTGACATACAGGAACTGCAAGAGATGGTTGAGCAACTGTGTAAATTGGCCAGGGAGCCTGGACTAGATGTTCAAGGATTTTTGTGTAAATCATGTCAACATCCATTGGGAATAGGTTACTCGAATTTTAGGTGAGTTTGCATGGCTTTCTAAAAAAGACTGAATTATATGTAACATAAAATATTTGTAGGGTTTGTGCATTCAGCGGCAACTATTTTTGTGATAATTGTATGGACATTGAACCGGTCATTATACCAGCAAAAATAATATATAACTGGGATTTTCGCAAGTATTCGGTGTCAAAAAAAGCTGCGTCATTTCTGGCCGAATTTCGTACACAGCCATTTATTGATCTAAAGGTGAGAACTGCGTATATTGCCATATATAACTGATTTTTTATATTTTCTTCAATTTAAGCTACTTAATCCAGATATATACAATGCTTCAGAGGCCATGGCCGAATTACAAGCTCTACGCATACGGCTCAACTTCATACGGGCATACTTGTGCACATGTAGTCCCAAGAGCTTTGAAGAATTGCAATGCTTATTTTTCGGCAAGGAATATCTATATGAACACATCCATCAGTATTCTATAGGAGATTTGGCAATGATACAACGAGGTTTGTTGTATCAGAATTTGCAAAAAGCATACAAAGTGGGAGAGGCTCATATTCTAAAATGCCCACTGTGCAGTTTGAAAGGTTTCATATGTGAAATTTGTAAAGGACCCAAAGTTTTGTATCCGTTCCACATAGAAACAACATATCGGGTAAGCAATTTTTGATATTTTAAAATACATATGTAAAATGTTATTTCTATTTTTTGTCTAGTGTTCAACATGTGGATCTGTTTTCCATGCCGATTGTTTAAATGATAACCAGCCATGTCCCAAATGCGAAAGGTATCGTAAACGTGTTGCCTTATTTACGCCATCACCAGATGCTGGGGAGGAGGAAAAGGAGCAATAGTTGGCATTTGTTTTGTTTTATTTTAGTTACCAATTAAATTAATTATAATAACTTATTGCAATAGTGTGTCTGCCTTTAAATGTCGCTAAGTATATACTCATGTATAATGATATAAAATATAAATAAATATATGTTTATTTGTTAAAATGATAATTTAATTTGGTAGTGCATTTGGATTTTTAACGTATTTTCTTATTTGACGCCATACGTCAATGAAACAGTACGCCAATGTGTTTGCCCTAGTTCATAGGCTTATTTAAGTGAACCTTTCAATTGAACAATCTCGTTGGCGAAATCCTCTTCATAGTATAATTTCTTTACATGTAATGTGGATCATAGATGTTAATAAGAGGAACAAGTGTGTACATTAAAAATATTTCAGTGGATTCAATACCTAAAACTTGTATAATATTGTGTGTTTTTCCTGGTACAATAACATATAACGAACGCAGCAACGCTAATCGCCCCAATTGGAATTCAACGCACTAAATCACCTGTTGCGCCGTCATTATTTTACCCACATCTGGCTCCAAAGTCTGTTTCCGACCTTTGATATCATTCGCTCACATACTTGTGGAGAGTGGAGTGAGTTATTTAATTTATTTGCCCTTATTATATTCCAATTTAAATTCATTAAAAACTAATATTCTCTTACAGCTGTGATTTACTTTGTGACAAAAACTAATACTTTGATAGAATCGCAAAATGTTCGCCAACTCAACTCGCAGCTTTTTGCGTACCAGCATCGTAAGTTGCTTTCAAATTTACATATTTAGATGCTTTTAAAAACACCTGGTTTCTTCCTATATTTATAGTTCCATCGCTGCAAAAGCACATTGGTGGTAGCCGAACACAATAATGAGGCTTTGAATCCCATCACATTGAACACCATTGCTGCTGCCAAGAAAATCGGTGGCGATGTTACCGTTTTGGTAGCTGGCACAAAATGTGGCCCCGTAAGTTGACAAACTGTTTGCATAATCATCATATCATTTTTAAGTATTCGCATGCCTTATCATATGCTGTCTTATTTGTTCACAGGCCTCTGAAGCTGTTGCCAAAGTTGAGGGTGTTGCCAAGGTTTTGGTTGCTGAAAATGATGCCTTCAAGGGTTTCACCGCTGAATCACTGACACCCTTGGTTTTGGCTGCCCAAAACCAATTTAAATTCACCCACATCTTGGCTGGCGCCACTGCCTTTGGCAAGAATGTTTTGCCACGCGTTGCTGCTAAATTGGATGTCTCCCCCATCTCTGAAATTATTGATGTCAAGAGTGAAGATACCTTTGTGCGCACCATTTATGCCGGTAACGCTGTGCTCACTTTGCGTTCCAAAGACCCCGTGAAGGTCATCACTGTACGTGGCACCAATTTCGCCCCCGCTGCTGCTACTGGCGGTAGTGGTGCCGTTGAACCTGCACCTGCTGGCGACTACGCTCAAAGCCTTACCGAATTCGTTAGCCAAGAATTGACCAAGTCTGATCGTCCAGAATTGACCAGTGCTAAGGTTATCATTTCCGGAGGTCGTGGTTTGAAATCAGGTGATAACTTCAAATTGTTGTACGATCTTGCTGACAAATTCGGCGCTGCTGTTGGTGCTTCTCGTGCCGCTGTCGATGCTGGTTATGTGCCCAATGACTTGCAAATCGGTCAAACTGGTAAAATTGTTGCCCCCGATCTATACGTTGCCGTTGGCATCTCCGGCGCCATTCAACATTTGGCTGGCATGAAGGATTCCAAAACCATTGTTGCCATCAACAAGGACCCCGAGGCTCCCATTTTCCAAGTTGCCGATATTGGTTTGGTAGCTGATTTGTTCAAGGCTGTTCCAGAATTGACTGGCAAATTGTAAGAAAAGAATTTCCATCCCGATCAAAAACAAGTTAAACTTGTGTGTCGATCAAACCGAAATCATATTTCGAGCAAATGTGATTGGATTTATAAGTGCATTTAATTATGTTATAAATAATTATAAGTGAAAAAAGAAAACAACAATAACATCGATATAGACAATTATTATGATAAAACAAAAGTTAAATAAAAAAATTATATTTTTTCAATAAATTCGAAAGATTTTTATAAAACATGAAGAGATGTACTTGGTCGACCAAATGTGTTTGTGTGCTTGCTTGTCTTTTATTTTTGGATGTGTGTGGTTGAAATTCTTATCAATAACAATTGTTGATGTTACGCAAGCGGAAAGTTTAACAATCGTTTTTATTTTTTATTACTTTGATTTGTCAAAGTTAAAATGATTGACTTTGTAGTTGTTGTGGAAGATGTGTTTGGTCCAGTTAATGCTTTAGTCCTTGCGGCTAAAGTACACAGTTGTGTATCAAGTTGTGGGGGAGGCGGATTGTCATTGTTGTTTTCATTAAATGTTTAAAACGTGCAAAATATCATAAAATATAATTTTAATAAAAAATTGTGGAAAAAATCAGTTTTCCTACACCGCTTTCTTATTCGTATACTGTTGTTGTTGATTTTATCAGAATAGCTTGATGTTGGCACACCATATGAATATACATTTTAAAATTATGATTTTCAATCCAAATGCCTAAAAGTATGCTTGGCATTTTTTGGTGTTTTTGATTTTTTTCCATAAGTTTCTATACAAACTATTATGTATGTTGGTATATATGTATATACCTTTCAGTTAGTGACACGACTGCTGATAAGCCAAACTATCTTTTGGAGAAAAAATACCACCAAAACAATGAATATTTTAACGATTGTGTTTGTTGTTATTGTAGATATGTTTGCTGTTACCAAAACATTATGAGTAGTTGATTCTTGATTGGATTATATGTTATAAAAAAAAATTGAGTATAATAACAAAAACAACTTTGAAATTGACTATAGAATGATTTTGTTCTATTTATCAATACAAACCACTTGTAAATTAAAAATCTGTTATGATTTGATATCAATTCAAAAATCAATGCGAATCCTTTAAATTTGGGGGTATGCCTTGACCATAAACACTACTAAATACTTAGAAACACGGAAATGTTGACCATTATCAATTCTATTTTATTTAAAATATCATTAATATGTATTTGATTTTCAACAAACATATCCCATTGGCGGCAACATGTTTGACAGACAACGTTAATGGAATTTTTTCCAAATTTATTTCAAAGTCTCAAGAAGAATTTTAATCAGAGCTCGTAGACTATAACATTGTATTATTTTATGGGACTTATTCCGGATTGCAGTTATTTTATTACTAGCCAAAATAAATGTTTGAATCAACATAACCTTTGCACACACGCTAATCATTTCGCTTATCATGAAGTTCCATACTATGTATTTATCAATTACTTTAGCATAGATGCGTTTTCGACATCAAAATTAGTCAGTATAGCGACGCTTCTTCGGTTAACTAGCATAAAAAAGAATACACGGAAATATAGACATCATGGGTAATTGATATTAAATAGAATTTTTTTCTGATATATTTTGTGCAAGTAATGGATAATTTACAATGTTGTAATAGTGTAAGAGTATGGACCCATTAAATAAATGAAATACATACATATATATTTTTGGATATTTGATCTTTAAATTGTCTTTCTTATTGTGCTTAAAATGTGAATGAAAAATTAAATTTTGACAAAGTGTGATATTCTATAGTTTACCAGTTTAATCCCGAATATTCAAGTGTATTCTAGTGAAATTCTACCAAACCACAGATTATTGAATATGGGCTATAAAAGTCGTAGTCGGGTCAAATAACTGAAGAGAAAAGAGTCTAAGAAAATAGATGATGACAAAACGGAAGCATTTGTTGCATCATAAATCAAATTTAAGACATGTGTTATATAAATAAATGTAATACAACAATGTCGAGATTTTATATAATTTAAAGATGTGTTATATAAAAATGTAGTACAACAATGATAATTTAAAGATAAATACGTTTAAACAAAACATTTTTTTTTTAAATTTTTCGTTCTTTCAATAAGTTGTAAATTTTTTTTAAACAAAATAGATTGTTTGATAAACATTTTTCAAGTATACTTTCCAATGGATGAATTTTGCAAAGATATCAAACGAATCTAACTATGTTTTAGTAAAAAAAATTCCCATGTCAAAAGTTGTAAACTCACAGTAAAGAAAAAGTCAAATCTGTTTTCCAAATGAAAAAGGTGGTTTATATTGGGGATTCCTAGAAACATAGAACTCAAATTATCAAATTACAGCCAGCCAATTCCAGGAATCCTAAAAATATCAAAATTTAATAATTAATATTTTTTTATGGAAATTTATTACCCAATTAGAACTCAAAATATAAAATAACAAATAATTCCTTTTGAAAATGTGACTAAAATCAAAGTATAGAGGACATACATAATATAAATGACAGCCAGTTAACATAGATGATTGTCTTCTAAAAAAGAGGGCGTAGAATAAAGCTTATAACAATGAGCTATAGAGCAAAAAAACACCTAGAAATCTTGAGGATCATATATTTATCGTGTTTCAGACCTTGAAACAGTTGAAATTGTTATTTTTTTAATATTTGTTCAAGGTTCTTATAAACACTTTTTTACTTTATTTAGAGGTTAAGGTAAATCAGGTATATTTTGAATAACGTGCATTGGAATGAATGGTTTAATAGGACTATATATATATATAAACTCACTTTACAAATTCCACTTATATGGACTAAACTGTAATCATATTCGCCCATTACACCATGGGCTATTTCGCGAGAATGGTCAAAACAATCAATCATTCCTATAAACATATTGACGTTTCCTTGCATTCCGTAACCACTCACTACACGATTACAGATTGTCCTTCTGTCGTCGAGATGATAATCGCAACAGAATAAAATTCTAAAACAGAAAGAGATTAACAAACTTAAATGACACAATAATTTTGCAAAGCAGGTGATTGACGACGACGACAACTACTATAATAACAACGATGCAATCAATCAATGCGAATTTTATTATTATGTTTTATTGATAACAGCAGATTTTCTTTCGACTTGAAGACAATGTATGTGGGGCTTTTCAAAAGGCCAGCTAGCTATATTGTTTCCATTGATAACAGCTTTTTCATTAATTTTTTAAAGAAAAACACACATACGCACACACACAGACAAATGACAGCACATGTCCGTAAGATAGCGATCGATGTTGTTTAACTAGCGAAAAGATAGACAGACGCACGGACCATTGTTAAGATATTTAGCAAAATAATTTCCATACTTTGTTGTAGCTTCTTTATGTAATAGCTTTATTGTTGTTGGTATAGTACAATAGTAGTAGGTTACTGGTGACGCTGAAGGCATTATCGTTAAGAAGCCTTCCTGCCATTTTGAGATAATGTGGATTTTTTTTTCATTTTTGTCTTTGCAAAGATGAGCTGAGATAGTAGGAAAAACTCATGCCATTTATTATTTTATTTTTGTTAATCAAACGCCACAATCCGGTAGGCAACATACATTGTTAAAAAGCACTACTACCTAACTACCTCGCCTAAACGAACTACCTGTTGTAAGTTTAAAACAATATTACAACAGTCTTTTTTGTTTTAGTTTTTGATTACTACTGCCTATGGTTGATTGTTTTGTCTTTCCTTTTTTGGAAAACCCAAAGAAAACTGGTCGTTCAGGATGTGATTTAATTGCAATTTAAGTAATGGCGCCAGTCAAGCAATTATGCGCCGTTATTTTGTTAGTTGGTTAGTTAGAGGTCCATACCTGCTGACTGTAGGGTATTTAGTTGTATCGCTTGGTTTCACTGGGCTTTAGCACTAAATCTATTTGAGCAATGTTTACAGTATAATTTTGAACTTTTCAATGAACGGTTGTTGATTTCTATTTCTCCTTTCTAACGTTTCTAACTGCAAACAAACAAACAAACAAAGTGACAACAATGGCCAATGGTATCAGTGTCTGTGTAATTGGGGCTGGCACAGCTGGTCTTACAGCATTGAAAAACTCTCTGGAACACGATCTGAATGTGGTGTGCTATGAACAGGGCAAAGTTTTGGGTGGTACATGGGTGTATGAGGATCTATCGCCAAATATTCGTGATGACGATGATGTACACAGTAGCATGTATCAAGGACTAAGGTAAGAGTATAAAGCTTCTATGTAAAAATATTTTTGTATTTATGGGTTATCAATTTCAGAACAAATCTTCCCAAAGAAGTAATGGGCTATTTGGATTTCCCTTATCCACAATCTATGCAAGAGTCATTTGTAAGCTCACAAGCTGTTTTGGAGTTTCTACATTTGTATGCCGATCATTATGATTTGAAAAAGCATATTAAATTCCAACATGAAGTTATAAGAGTGAAACCACGTTGCAATAATCAATGGGAGGTAAGTATCTGTGTGAAAATTTAAGCTTAGAGTGTGTGTGTGGGTAATATCTGCAAGGGGTGTGTGATTGATTAGTTTCTTCCGTAACTCGTAAGTGATATACATAATCGACATATGCGCATTTATTTTGGATTTTAGGTTCACGTTTTAGATCATTCGACAGATAAATGCTTTGTAACGGTATTCGATAGGATTTTCATTTGCAATGGCCATTATACGAAACCCCAATATCCTTGTATTGATGGCATGGATATCTATCAAGGCTGTAAGATGCACAGTCATATTTATAGGGAACCACAAAAGTTCAAAGGTGAGTTTTTAAATAATTTAACTAAAAAAAGTGGACACATTATAAACTGTTATAGCAAAAAAAAAAAAAAAAAATAAAATAATAATAATTAAAAAATTAAATTTATTATAAAAAACTGATTTAAAACAACAATTATATGCTTAAATAATGGCATCTTCAATATAAAACCATCGCTAAAACTTTTTAGAAAACGTGTGGTAATTTGTCCTAAATTATATAAACAAAATTCTTTTCCATAATTGAATAAAATCTTCTTAAAAATTGCGTCAAAATGGTTTGCAAAATACAAGGTCATACTGTAAATTAATAATGCAACTTGTCAGCAGCAGCAACAAAATCTTATGTAAATAAAGTGGCGGAAATATAACATTCGCATCGCATAATACGCCACCGCTATCGTAAAATAAATAAAAATTCTATTAAAATAAAACAATTAAAAGCTTAGACAGTGCGCTACTTTACTTAGCATTCATGACAGCGCTAACATGGCGCATTACCAATTGTTGTATTCAAAAAATAGTACTAATGTAAAACATTTATAGGTGAAAATGTATTAATTATTGGAGCTGGGCCCTCGGGCATGGACTTGGCTAATCACATTAGTAAAACTGCCAATAGAATATTTCTGAGTCATCATTTGAAGGAAGCACCCAATACAGATTTCATGGGCAATGTAACACAGAAGCCCGATGTTAAACGTTTCACACGAACTGGTGCCGTTTTCAAAGATGACACCGAGGAAGAATTCTCGTGCGTTGTTTTCTGCACGGGCTATCAATATTCATTCCCATTCCTGAGTGTGGACTGTGGCATTTATGTGGCCAACAATCATGTCCAACCGCTGTACAAGCATTGCATAAATATTCAACATCCCACAATGGCAATTATTGGTATACCATATCTGGTTCTGCCCACCCAATGTTTTGACTTGCAGGTGCGGTTTGCCTTGAAGTTCTTTGCTAATGAACAAGAACTGCCGTCGAAAGAGGAAATGATGGAAGAACTTCGTCGCGATATGGAAGAGAGAAAAGAAAGGGGTTTGACCGAAAGAGATGCCCATCAAATGGGTGAAAAACAGGTCAGTATTACGATATATATCGCCCATTAAAATCATAAGCTAAGAATATTTTACAATTTCAGTTTGATTATTACAAACAACTGGCGAAGATCGCGGGCCACAATGTTAAACCGGTCATTGCTAAAATAATGAAAGACTGCGGCAAAAAATACATTTATGAATTGGACACATATCGTGAATATCAGTTTAAAATTTTGGATGATGAGAATTTCGTTAAATTTCATTCGAAATGAAAAAAAAAACTGTGTAGTGTAGAAGTTCAGTGTGCATTTATTGTTATATTATATTTTTGTAATTCTTTTTTCTATTTTAAATAAAATTTCACACATAATATACAATGGATGTACATTGGAATTTGTTTGTCTTTCTTAAGTATTGTATTTTCTAAGAAAACGTAATACCAAATCGGTAGAACCTTTACGTTATGAAAAATGGACGGAACTTTTAAATGCCAAAATATATTTAAAATGTTTTATATTTTTATCATATATTTAAAATGTTTTTCATAGCTCTTTCGATGTTTGGTATCGATAATCGAATATATAGATCATGGCATAGCTGTAATATAATGGACTGCCCATCTGATTTTTATTGTTTGGAATATTTCATGTTTTGAACAATTTACTAATTTAACACGAACGGTTTGCCGATATCTTGAAGATTTCAGGAAAATATACAGCCTTATTCTGGATATTTGCTAGGGAGATATCTCGCATGTAAAAAATTTTCGCTTTCACATTCTCGCCTTATTCTGAATGAATAGGGAGATGCAAAAAATGCGAGATGCAGATTCGAGTTTTCGAAAATGGTGGTTGAAAAAAATATTCGTGTTGCCATATCGTAAATTAAGTTGCGCTGTGTGTGGCCATATTGTAATTTAAGTTGTAATGTGTGTTACCCCATTGTAATTTAATTGTGTAACATTTTTCAATATATTATTTATTGATTTTTGTTATTAAAAATTGTTACTTTTTATTGTTATTTAAACTTTATAGCAATACAAATGTGAAATATCAAGAATCCGCTGTATAAATGCTTTTTAATTAAAAGAAAATAAATTAAAGTTTGAAAATATGGCAACCTACAATATGGCATGTGAAACAGCTGTTCATTGTTTTGATGCAATTTGTTGCAACAACTACAATAGATTACAAATAAAAGAACATTTTTTTTATGATGGCAAAAACACAACGAATAATAGGAAGAAATCTGCGATTTAATTAATTAATTCACAGTTAATTATTTCACTACATAATTGTGTGCCTTTTTATTTAATTTTGATATTTTATCTCCCCAAATTCTTAAAGTGGTCAGTTATGTTATGATTTGCTCCTACTCCTTTATTTCTTCCTTCAAATCATGCACACGATAATTTAAAAAAATATATTTTTTGTTCTTTCATAATTTTTATTTCAGTTTTTCACTGTTAAGCGGCTCATAAGGCAAATTTGGTTTTTCCATAATTTTTAAAATTTTTTTCTTGAGAGACAGATCCTCACACAAATGTCTGTATTTCGCCTCCAAAATGCATCAAACTCGACTTAAATATTCCTTATTACCTTCATACATTCTTTGGCAATACTTGGTTCAGCATGCATCGTTATCAATAGGATTTCCAATGGCATTTTATTGGCTGTTTTCCAGTTAAAAATTTGCTTACTATCATTTATAATATTCTAAATCGTCATATAATAAGTATTGTGTAAATATTTTTCATAAAAATAGTTATTACTTATGTTTTTGTAGTCAACTCCCCTTAAATTTATTAGCGAAAAATTTCGCACAAAATTTCATCTCATCTGTAATTCAGAATACCTAATTTTTCGCCAAAGCGGATTTTTTCGCTTTCGAACTTCATTCAGAATAAGGCGAAAGCAAGAATGCGAAAAAATGCACAAAAAAATGTTGTTCAGAATAAGGCGAAGGGAAAGAGCGAGTAAATTCACATGGAATTGACATCCAGAATAAGGCTGATAGAATTTATAACCAAATCTACTTATAAAAATATCAACGGTTCGTACTTTTTAGTACGAGTATATCTGATCGCGTATATTTTCTTTATAATTTCAATTTGGCCTTAATAGGTTTTTTTGTTACATAATGAAATAATAATAAACAAATAAATGTGGACTATTAAAATTAAGGGGATAAGCAAGTAGTACTAGGTACAGTAAAAAACATATCAACGAAAAGCTACGACCTCACATTTAATATTTCACTTACTTCTTTGATTGATATTCCGAATAAAACAAAAGCCGTCCCTAGTTACATTGTCATTGGATATCAATTTATTAATGACAACAAAAAAATATTTAAAAAATCGTATATACATATATGTGTACCGAAGGCCATATCAGCGCATTGACTAAAAATATTCATTTTGGAGAATTCAATGTCACATGTCATATTTGTTGACAAACGCACAACAAATATGATGTGATTAAAAGCAACTTACCCATTTCCACAATATATTACAATTATTATATTTTTCCCAGAAATATTTACCTCAAACCACTACCATCCTATCGATTGTCCAACATATTATACACCTCTTGGGTTCTTATTGTATTATTTACCAACTAAACATTGCCAAAAAAAAAAAAAAATAACTACATTGTTTCGTTTGTATAGGGCAGATTTGTCAATCGACCTTCACCTCATCATCATCATTTGCATGTTTTTCATCAAAGCAATAAAACAACTTTAGTTTTTTTGTTGGAAATTAGAAATTACAATTTTATTACATTCTCTTTTGTATTTCAGTTTTGAATTTGCTTTGATCTTATAGCAATTCTAGTAGTAATTTTTTTTTTCTCGCTCTTAAAAAATGCCTTAAAAACAGATGGAAGATAGGCTTTTTTCATAAAAAAAAATTGATAGTTAAACATTAAACATTTTTCTAAACTCCGATGCCGCTCACAACAAATGATGGACAAAAAGATTTTACCACCAAGTAAATGACAGCTTGAACACCACCACATTTTCAGCATCATAAATGTCTTGGCGAACAAGGGCCCTCGGCAGTAGAACCTGTTGGTTTTTGTCACATGCATTTGCCGAAACCTTATCGGAAAGAAGGAAAATATTTAATGTTTAATTTCTAAATATATTTAAATAATAATTTCTAATTAATATTTGAGTGTGTGTGTTGCGGGGGTATTTTTACGATTTTTTTGTAAAGGATTTTTTTCGTTTTTTGTTGTTGTGGTTTCTTTTCTCTCTTGTTTTACATTCTTCTCTCGCGCTACATAACATTTTTCTTTAGTTTTATATTATAATTATATAATTTGCTACTACAATTTGTTGTTACTTTTTGTTTTGTTTGTTATGAATTGTACATTACATTATACATAATACATATACATATATAATTTGTTTCATTATTATTATATCTTTTAGTTTAGTTGCATATCTATACAATAACAAAGAAAATCAATGGGGTTTGTGATTGATTGGTGGTGGCAAACATTTGAAAGAAAACTCAAAGGAAAGTTAACGGTCGACCACCAACCGGCCACAGCTATCAACAAGTATAATTTGTGGCCGGATGGATTTGTTGTGTTGGCTTGATAGTGTGTCTGTCCATCCTCGAGAGGTGGCGAGACCGATTGTCTGTTGTTAATTTTCCGGTTTCTCTTTCAATTGGTTTTTTGTTTGTGTTATATATGCATATGTTTTAAATATGTATTTTTTGAATATATATAAATATATAATATAAATACCATAAGTTTTTTTGTTTTTAGCTTATCACAAAATGAAAATAATCATATAATTATTCATTATAGTCAATATATTATTCTTAGAATTGAACAATAATTAAACATAAAAATATAGGACTTATTCGTAGTATATAAATGGTTGTTGGTTGGTTGTGTGTTGTGTATATATGTCGCAGGAATGATTAACAGTTTGTCCTCAATTTTAAAAAATCAAAATATCCCAACAGACTGCTAATCACAAAAACGTATGATTCTAGGTTTCAATTAAATATTTTTATCGAAATAAAAATCTAAGTATTCGCACTCTCGATGTTGTTGTTCTTTTGTATATATATGACAATTGTTCTTGTGTGTGTTCTTTCATATATATATATATATATAGAGAGATGTGTGTGTGTAAGTTCCTTAAAAAAGAATACTTTGTTGTTTTTGTTGTTCAATAACAGTCTAAACTTTTATTTGTTTAAAATATTTAACTAAAACCTAATTTAACTCTTTCTAATGCACACAAAAGGGCACTTATATTGTCAGTCAACACCTATCCCTTTTCCAACCACTCTCTATCACTCCCCTGTAACGGAGAGCTGTGTCGTTGGATTCGGGATAAGAACGTGAATGATGACTCTTTTCTTTCTTGTTGTTGTTGTTCTCGTTGACTTGATAAGTGTCCCCTCTGGATAACAACTCCCTTTTGCGGCGTCTTTGATTTTGGTTTCTCTCTTTGTCGTTTTCTTTTGTTGTTGTTAATATTATAATGGTTGTTCTTTAAGTATATTATTGTTGTTGTTGTTGTTTTATACTGGTGGTTTTCTCACTAAATTTTTTTAACATTAAGTATTTATAGTATGATGAAATGGTTTGTTGTTGTTGTTTGTTTTGTTTCAATTTAAATTACATTATTTGAATATTATATTTAATAATTATGTGTGTTTGTGTGAGGGTGTGTTTGCAAAAATTACGATAGAAGGCGGGCGAAACAAAACAAATCGAAAAAAATGTTCACAGAAATTTTGTTTCTAACAATTAACGAACAAATGTATGTGTGTCACTTGTGTAGATTTTTACAATTAAATTAAGAATTATTACGAAAAAAAAGAATTAAAACAATAAAAACAATAACATAAGATAACGCAAAAAATAAACGAAACTAATAATTAAAAATATATAATTTTTATAATGAAACAAAAAACAGGCCAATAATGAAAAACAATCTATCTACGATTCCCTATTAAAAAACTGCAACAACATATCAGACAACAGATTGTTGTTCGTCAGCGTCGTCGCCGTCTCTGAGGTCTTTAGACAATGTTAGCGGTGTACATACTTTCGACTCGAACCAATACAATCTATTCTATATATACAAATTGTATTGATCGGATTCACACCAAGAGATGATGATAGATAGGATCGAAGTGGTGATGGTAGTTGTTTCTGTTTGTGTTTTGATTAAATAAAACATTTTGGGATTGGTTGAATGAATGATTGATTCTTTTCGCTATAATTTGTACAAATACTTGATTGATTTCATTCAAACTACTAACACTGTGTTCTTTTACACACTAAAATGCAAACCTTCTATGTCTGTTCTCCTCAATACTTATTTCACTAATGTTGTATATGTTGTATACCTTTGTTATACAGTTGCAATCTTGGAATCAGCTTCGCCATCATCAAGAAGACAATAATGAAAACCAGTATCGGGAGAATTGCTGCGATGACGACGACATTGATGATGTATTCTTGTTATTACTGACCGTGGAATGATCAGTAGTAATTGATGTTGTTATTGTACTATTGCTGCTGTTGTTGTTTGACACTGATGTTGTTGTTGCTGCTGGTTGATGATGTTGGTTTTGCTTTTGAACAGGTTGTTGCGTTTCTATATCAGAATATCGATATAACGAAGAAGATGATTGCTTTCTTGATGGTTGTTTTTTATTCTTATTGTTGTTGTGTTTGTTGTTCTTATTGTTATTGTTGCAGCATTGACGATTAATTTATTTGGTGTACAAGTAGATGGCAACAATGAGACCGTACAGACCCAATACTTCAGCGAAAATGAGAATCAAAATCATACCGACGAAGAGACGAGGTTGTTGAGCTGTACCTCTGACACCGGCATCACCAACAATACCGATCGCAAAACCTGCCGCTAAGCCTGAGAAACCTACAGCCAAACCAGCACCCAAATGAATGAAACCCCTAGAAACAGAAATATGGAAATATGATGCGATTAGTTTACATTCCATACAATGGAGGGTGAGGGTTTCCTTGGGTGGGTGGTGTTTTACTTACTTGTAAAGGGAGTATTTTGAGGGTTCATCCAAAGCACCAGCAATAAGGACAGCTACGACCAAACCGTAAATGGCAATAATACCAGCCATGACAACGGGAATAATGGATTTCATGATCAATTCTGGTCTCATCACTGACATAGCAGCGATACCAGTACCTGATTTAGCTGTACCATAGGCAGCACCCAAAGCTAGAAGATGGTAACAATAAATAATATATGAGTATTGTGATGTTTAAAAATCGGGTGGGTGGTGAGAAGGAAAAACGAGGACACACAAATAATCTCTTCATTCTAACAAAATTACTAACCTCTGCAAAGTATGAATTCATTTGGTGTCGATATTTCGGAATACAACTAACAATATTAGAATTCATGTTTACATATTTTTGGACGTAATATAGAAATGCCTTTTATTGATAAATAAAATGGATTTATTATCCGAATCATGACCCATGTATCTTTCGCAATGATCTGTTCATATTTTTATTTTTTGTATAATAATTAATTTCAATAAGGCACTTGCTAAACATCCACATTAAATATAAATAGGGTTAAAACTAAATAACTACATATAAATCAGAATCGTTGCCCTTGTCAGTGTATGACCAAACATATTAATAATTAATGCCAATAAAGGTTCATTTTTGAATTATTTCCAACAAAAAAAAACAGCCTAAACCTTCTCAAAATACAATCAAGTCGTGATGCATAATGTTCACGATCATTTTGTCAAGGGTGAGCATTTTGCTTTGGCAATATACCAAATTCAATTTATTAATTTTGTTAACTTCATTAATTTTTTACGTTGGTCATGTGATACTTTAAAAAAGCTTGATATCCATCCATAAATAATTTATATAAAAAGCTTTTATTTCCCTACTGCTATACTCTCTCTTCTTGTCTGTCTCTTCTGAGAGTGATAACGATGACTTCAAATATCAACTATGTTTGAACAAAAGCAACAACAACAAAAAATGTCAACTTAAAACAATATTGCCAGACAGTGCGTTAAATTCCGGACGAGGAGGGAAATTTCAAGGAGAGGCGCTCTTCTGACAAAACAAAAAAAAGTTAAACACATGACTAGTATAACTGTGGATTGAAGTACAAACATGCTGCTGCCGCTGTTGTTATTAATGATACGAAATATGAATAATATAAGTAAAATAGAAAACAGTTATTTTCATATTACGCAAAGCCGTTGACGACCAAAAAAACTAAAGGGAGGGAGGAGAGTGGGGGCAGTTTGCACGGAGCAGAATAAGAGTCTAAACGCAACCATAGAGTCTAGAGTCAGCGACAGTCGTTTGCCGTGTGTTTCTTATAGGCAACGGGAAATCGCGACGGCTGACGTTCGCGTCTAGCGGCATGACGCTAGAATAGATTTTATTCATTTTTGCTCAGCGTCATACTCAAAATTTCTCTCTTGCTCTCAATTGAGTTGCCATATTTTAGGTAAAAATCAACAGTGCTACCAAATTTCAATGAGAATTTATATCAAAACATATGGCAGTGCTGTTAAAAAAACAAATATTTTCAAAGATTGTGAATGTTTCTTAACGAATTATTAATAAAATGGAAGAAAAATAATTTTTTCAATAATTTTATCCAAGTTCCTTGACATTATTGTTTATTAAATAATAAATTGATTTTGGTTTGCACAACGTAAAATTTTTTGTCAGAAAATGAAAACAAATAATTGACATTTTGTGCCGCTAGCCGCTAAGAGTCTAAACGCAACCGGAGAGTCACGAGTCAGCGTCATACTTTTTCGCCGGCGTGAAAACCAAACGAAAGGGTTAGCGTTAGCGGCACAAAATGTCAATTATTTGTTTTCATTTTCTGACAGAAACTTTTACGTTGTGCAAACCAAAATCAATTTATTATTTAATAAACAATAATGTCAAGGAATTTGGATAAAATTATTGAAAAAAATATTTTTCTTCCATTTTATTAATAATTCATTAAAAAACATCCACAATCTTTGAAAATATTTGTTTTTTTAACAGTACTGCCATATGTTTTGATATAAATTCTCGTTGAAATTTGGTAGCACTGTTGATTTTTACCTAAAATATGGCAACTCAATTGAGACCAAGTGAGAAATTTTGAGTATGACGCTGAGAAAAAATGAATAAAATCTATTCTAGCGTCATGCCGCTAGAGGCGAACGTCAGCCGTCGCGATTTCCCGTTGCCTATAAGAAACACACGGCAAACGACTGTCGCTGACTCTAGACTCTATGGTTGCGTTTAGACTCTAAGAGTCTAAACGCAACCATAGAGTCTAGAGTCAGCGACAGCCCTTTGCCGTGTGTTTCTTATAGGCAACGGGAAATCGCGACGGCTGACGTTCTCGTCTAGCGGCTTGACGCTAGAATAGATTTTATTCATTTTTGCTCAGCGTCATACTCAAATGTTCTCTCTTGCTCTCAGTTGAGTTGCCATATTTTAGGTAAAAATGAACAGTGCTACCAAATTTCAATGAGAATCTATATCAAAACATATGGCAGTGCTGTTAAAAAAAAACAAATATTTTCAAAGATTGTTGACGTTTTTTGAACGAATTAATAATAAAATGGAAGAAAAATAATGTTTTCAATAATTTTATCCAAGTTCCTTGACATTATTGTCTATTAAACAATAAATTGAATTTTGTTTGCACAACGTAAAATTTTCTGTCAGAAAATAAAAATATATAATTGACATTTTGTGCCGCTAACGCCAACTCTTTCGTTTGGTTTTCACGCCGGCGAAAAAGTATGACGCTGACTCGTGACTCTCTGGTTGCGTTTAGACTCTAACTCTTTCGTTTGGTTTTCACGCCGGCGAAAAAGTATGACGCTGACTCGTGACACTCTGGTTGCGTTTAGACTCTAAGAATCACTAAGTTGATATTGGAAATGAGAGAGAACACATAAATAAAATGTAAAAAAAAACAAAATACTGGAAACCAGTTTTAATTGCAATGAATTAAAATTATACGCTTTTTTATTTGTATTTGTGTAAAAGAGAGAATGAATATAATTGAAGAGTGTTGTTGCCCACTGTCAATGCTCTCTACAAAAAAAAAAAGACCCAAAATGGAGTAGAGGTTTTTTTCCGATTGTTGTTTTTGTTGCTGCTGCTGCCGCTGCTGAAGGTAAAACAACCAACAACACTAACACCATACAAATAAGTCAGTCAGTCATGTGATTAACTCGTAACGCTACTCTTTTTTTCTTCTTCTTTACTATGTGTATTTTATTTATTATTACTAACATATTTGTACTTGAATGAATAATTATTGAAAAACAGAATGCATAGCAAGCAAAGAACAAGGTGGAATGGAATAATTCAAAAAACGACTGTGTCATGCACAAAAAGGCAATGGTGGCCACCTGTTTTTTGTTTAAACAAAACACCAAAGTTATTGATTACATTTTTTTCGGATTGTTTGCATTGATACAATTCGTGTTGTCAAATGTTTATGGTATTTTTTTTTCTTTCTTTGCCAGAATGATCTTCATTATTGAATATTTTATATACTTTTTCAACTCATTGATAATTTTCCTATAATGGGGATGGAGGAGGATGTAAGAATAGATGCCGTTAAATGGGCCTTACAATGACCTTTTTTCTTAGCTTCTTCCTCCCCCATGCATATTGACGTCGTCGTCGTCTTCTTGTAAAGAGTATACCAGTATATTTTTAGTAAAATGGTACATATATACCTATCTTCTACATTTATATGTACATAGTTATGTATACATAAATGGTACTACTACTACAATGAGATGAAAAGGGAGTTTGCGCACATCATACAATGATGTAGGCATACAAATATACATACATATGTAAGAGAAGAAGATATAAATCAATTATTGAAGAAGCAAATAAAAACATAATTTGATTCCAAGCTGCTGATGTATGTACGCCCCCATAAATAATAAATTTTAATAGCCGTTGATGCAATTGCGTCGAGACGGACTCAAATCAAAAGTTATCACCTTGTAAAACAAAGGAAAACAGCATACATACACTCATTTCCAAAGAAATACATGCGATAAAAAAGCGTACCCTCCCCTAAACTGTAAGGAGCCTGTCAGCCAGCCTGCTGCATATGTATTCGACAACGACGACGTTAATGTTTAAAGAAGAGAATTGTGACAGTTCTTATCTTATCAACAAATAAAATTCTTTTACACACAAGCATGTGATTGCATGGGATGGCGGCGACGGCGTCAAGGGGAGTAATTAAAGAAAAAAACAAAAAAAAAATACGACAGGTAGTAGCACTAGGCATGTGATTGATGTTCACATAGCTCACATGAAACTTCTTAGCCATCGTAAACAGTATATTATGATACGAGGTGTTATCTCCCTACAGCCAATGAACGAAAGTTTTTGGTCAAGTGGCAACTCCATTGTAAGCCAAGTCTTGTGACTTGACAAGTGTGAAACGAAACGAAACATTCTTTCTACACCACAAATGAAGGTTGACTTAACCTACAAAAATTGTCGAAACACGTAAACCTTATTCCTCTCCCTCTCTATATATTTCTTTTTTATCTACCATAGAATAAATTTGAAGAGAAATGGGTCGAAATGAAAGAGCATCACTGGCAATTTGTAATTTCAAGAATTGTCCAATTTCAAAAGGAATATTTTCTGCTGTTTTTCGTTTCGTTTAGTTATTCTTCTTTGTGCTTTTGCACACTTTTTCCCCCATTCCAATTTCATTTATTTTTCTTTTTCGCAGTGGCCGTAATTCGTAAATATGCGTATGTATTGAATTTTTTCACTTTTTCATTGGCTCGGCTCTCTCGTTCTCTTTAAATTTTTTCATTAAAGAAAATCCTCTATTTAGTGGCTGTATCTGCCAAGATACCCGATTTTCCCCCAACCGTAGTTACACCTATTCCATATCTATTTTCTTTTTTCAATTTGTTCACAAAAGTCCCCAGACATATTCCTTTTTTCGATGGATTTTTTTCTTTTTGCTTTTCGTATCGATTACAAAGCTTTGTTTAACGGAGAAATTATTATTAGATGTGTGTCACTTGCAGACTCGAGGAGTAGGATGGTGGATGGCTGGATGAGGCATGATGTATTGTTGTAATTGATTACTCACCACTGAAGATGATAGCTGAGGCGGCTCCCATAACACCGAAGAAGGGTCCGTAGATTGGATTATCGGAATCGGCCATTTTAATTGTGTGTTTAAATTAAGGAGTTTCTACAAAAGAAAATTGAATTGGTTTTTTTAAACTGGTATTTACTTGTGTAATTCGTTTATACGATGATAGGATAGCTAGCTTATTTTAATTTTATTCTTCTTTTGTATTGGCAGATGAAGAGCTTTCTTTTTTTCTTTTGTCTTTACTTTTATTTGGTTTTATGAATTTGCACTTCACACAAAACAATTGCGCCTTTACTTTCAGAGGAGTAGCTGCGAGTATTCTCTTCGACGGTTGCCAAACGACTGTTTTTTACTGAATTCGACGACCACACATGAAAATGTGACGTTGTCATTCATTCACTCACACACCAACAAGATTGGGGACGTCTGTTTGCGTGTTGTTTTATTCTCTTCTGATAAGATATAAGTTGACGTATTTCACATGGATTTATTCGTCGCGTCAGATATCTTTGTATTTACATTGATTATTATCTGGAGGAAATATGGATAATTTCTAGAATTTTAAAATGCTGCATTAATTATTGTAAAAATAACAAAAATGCTATTTAATAAATCCATTTAATGTCCATGACGACGATAACCAAGTTTGGTTTTTTTTTTTTGTTTTCTCACAACAATATGGCAAGGTTGCCACTGTGAGAGCGGAACGACTGAGAATAGTCAGTTTTCAGAGAACACAGAATAGAAATTATTTTTTTCCTTGTCGACTTTAAGAATTTTCAATAATTTCCATATTTCGTAAATACTTTTATTTTTTTTAACAAAACTTGTATCCTTTTATAATGTTTTTTTCATTTTAACTTTTTTGTGTTTGTTGTAGCAGCGCAATTGTTTCGTTAAATTTGTGTAAAAGTGTCAATTCGTTCGTTTATCCATTTTGTTTCAACTATTTTGCTTTTTGGCTAATGTACTTGTAAGTATTTTTTTCTAAGTTCACTTTTATATTTTTAACAAAACTCACTTGACTAAGAAAAGAATTTGTTTTTTTGGTTTTTAAAAGCTTTTGGCCTTCTTCGGTTATTATTGCTAACTGGGGAGGAGTTGCTTTGCGTTTGAGTTTGCGACTGACTTTTTCCAACTCAACTTCTTTCAAAAGTCAATTCTGATCTACCGTCTTCGCTGTAGTTTTCACAGTCATATGATTTGTGCATGGTTGTATTGGCATAGAAGCTGCGTTTTTATTGGTTGTTTCTGTGGCTTGTTTACACTATCAAATGCTTGGTGCAAGGCAGATATACAAGGTAGCCGCATCGGCGAATTTCTACAACAAACATCGGTTGTTGTATTTTGATATGTCAAAAATATTTTGCCAAAACAAACAGATTGCCAAGATTTTTTTACACAAATTCTTGTAGAAAATGTTAATAAAAGTATTGGCAAAAAAGCAATTACAAATTCGGAGATTTTCATTTATAATTTTGTTTTTTAATTTTTTGGTTCAACATTACAACAACATTTTTGACATTTATTTGTCCAACAGCTGGGTCGATGCGGCTACCTTATTAAATATACCTTGGCTTGGTGTGATAGTGGAAAAGTGACATTGCTACTAATATGTGTCTATTGTTAACGGCTTTTATCAGCTGATTGATAATGCATACTGAATATATGAGTTGTAATATTGAGAAATGCATTTGTTTTTGTTATAATATATAATAATATAGTTCTCTGTTTTTAGTTTATTTAATAGAATTAAATTTATATGTGCGTTTAGATTGCATATTTTCTATAACAAAAATACAACTCTGTAGAGGTGTTTTAATGTCAAATTTCCTTTCAGAAAACATACAATGTGCTTCTTTTTATCGTTTTAATTTTGTTTAAAATGATAAAAATAAAGAAGAAATGGAATACCAAGGAGTTATTGTTTTAATAATAACTACGCATTAAAAACATAATTAAAAATTGAATTAACGCATAATAAATAGCTAATCATACGATTTTTTATATAATAATTATGTTTATTAAAATCTTATGAAAAATATTATATTTAGTTCTATAACCACACAATAATATAAAGTAGTATATATTTAAGTGAACAAAAAGAAACACCTCCACGGGTAATGGTTTGTTCCTGAATTAAAGGTTATAGGGAATACCATAAATAGAGGAATTCACGAATGCTTCTAAATAGGCATTCTAGATCTTGTAGATTAATTTACTACGGGGTTGTAAATTTACTTCACAAAAAAGGTTCTGGTAATTTTTTTTTGTGCTATTCAAAAATAAAAGGGCAAGAAACAGCATATTTAAGCAAGAAAGTGTAATCAAATTGAAAAAAGATGGAGATGGAGTGACGATCAACCTACATGCATCTACTACATATTTCAATAATAAGGTATGCTAAAAAAGTCCTGTACTGACCTGCAATTTATTTGTATAACAATTTTTGAATATGAACACAATGTAAAACTATTACCTTTCTTCCAATACAGAATAATACGCATCTTGAACAAAAATTTTAATAGAAAAATCTACAATAGGGTGGTAGTGTAAAACTACCTCATATATAATCTTGTAGTTTTCTGTTACATTAGTTGGTTTGCTATTATCGACAATAAAAAGATTTGATTAAAATGAAAAATATTTTCATAATACTATTTTAAAAATAGTATAAATATTTATTAGATTAGGTTGAAAAGATGTGTAATTTACATCACACCACACATAAGGACATACACTTAAACCTGTTAGTGGCCTCTAGAGAAGATTTACTATCCCTAATCTTCAGGGAATTCTGAATTTATTTGTAAAGTCCTTCAGTTTTTTTCCATTCATACCCCGGAAAGTGTCATTCCAGTCTCCTAGCTATTCCAAAGAATTTTGGGAACTTTTGTTACCCATGACCTCGCGTTGCACTAAAAGCTTTGGACTTATTTACATCTATTGCAGGTCGGTTGGTGGCACATCTGGCGAGTATATTTGCTATCGTTGCGTATCCCATCATTCTTATGTCTCGTTACCCATATTATTCATATGAGACCGTGTTGCAAGAAATTCCCGGCTATCAGGTGTTCCGCTACCCCATGAGTCTCTGGTATCATACTTGTTCTATATTTTGGTGCGGTCTATTGTGTCCGGTGTCGATCCACTCGCTCATAAATTTTATTATTTATTTTTAAAAACTTTTTACCCACTTGTATTGGTACAAACAATCTACACAACATTGATTTTTATAATAAAAGTACATCAAATAATGGAATTATAATAATAAAAATGTTTTTGAAGTACAATGGTTCTGAACCCCTCCAACTGAATAGACGTTAAGATATCATTAAGCTAATACATTGTTAGTTTTAAGCTTTTGGAGTAGTTTATGTTTTGTTGTTTTTTGAATCGCTTTTGGCCCTTTGGGATAGATTCTCGTTTATGAAATATATATATATATATATATTTAAAAAAGGACAACATATTTTTATATTAAACAATATTTATTGTTTTTTATAGAGTAGGAAGAGTAGAATAAGTCACCACAACTGAATATCATACTCAGAAAGATTCCATAAGACATTGTATATTGGTAAAGATAATGCTAAAAAGGTAAATTAGCAATCATTAGTGATATAATTTTCCAAAACCAAATATTCCGGTTTGTCTAATACTGTTTAATAAATTCTCGTAAATACTGAAATTTATACGAATTTGATTCGATTATTCAGTGATTTTATTTTTTATTGATTTTTTTTTAATTTAAGATTAATTGAAGTTTTAGAAGCACAATCCTACAGTTTTCAGTATTGTCTATTTTAATTTGGTTTGACTTCAATGTGAGTAAAAATAGAATAATTATTTTATGAAGCAGACTGCAAAAAAGCAAAATAAATTAAATTTGAATTAAAAATTAAAGGTTTAGACATTGTTTGGGAAATATACATAATTTCTTTTTGCTGAAACAATATAATTGCTATATTCATACTAACTGATTAAGAGATTATGTTTTCTGGTTTCAAAGTTGTTTCGATTATGTTTTATCTTCATATACGCCATTTGATTAAAATTCAGGTATTGCGAATGTTATTACTTGGATCCGGAACCTGCAAGAATAACATATTACTTATTTTCCCTCTATTTATTCCTTTATAAATTTTAAAATATCTGAGAAAAAAATAAAATTGTTAATCTGTTTGGTTGATTGCAACCAAAATGTTTATGGCTATTTAATAACATAAAATTATATCGTATGAGGTAAAGGACCTAAACTATAAATCAAGAGTTATTTTAATAAAATAAAATAAAACCTGAAGAGCATAAAAATAGATCATGATTTTATTAACCATCTGATAAGGAAATTCGGATTTTGTGCGAATCAAGTGTGAAAAATATCATTTCATTAATCAAATTAATTATTATATTTAGAAATAATTAATAAGTACTTAACAGTTTTTGCTTCTACAAATTTAATTTTATTTTGTATAGAATCATGATAATTAATAACAAAATATAATCACGAGCCCTTCGTTTCGTAGGGAATCACGTGTTGATTTCATATACAAACAGTAAACTTCCAAAATTGTCCAATAACAAATATAAAAAAAAAACAAGAAATTATTTACGTTTGTTATTATCATATCAACACATACATACACACTGATATACATATGTTCGTACCAGCGAAGAATTGTCAATATCGTGTTATCTAAAGTTTTCTTGAATGCCTCCATCGTCATAAGAGTCTAATTCCGACAAACACATATAGAAGTTTGTCATATGACCTCATAGAGAAAACTTGAAAACACTATCAATTCTAGTGCATTAGTAAAATATTGATTGCGGTTTTACTAATTATTTTTTGATAGTGTTGAGGTCTAATTATAAGTTATTTTTCAATAAATTACAGTTGATGAAAATGCAAAGGTGAAGTACCATGTTCGTTAAGTTAAGAATTTTTTTTTTTTGAACTATAACTGGAACACTTAAACAATTTGTAAAAGCCCAGGGGAAAATCGGAAATTAATTTCATCGCTCCAAAGTGGAAGACTTTTTTGAAATATGTTTCGTTAAAAAAAAACTATTTTTTATAAAAATTATTGTGTATTTTTTTTCTTGGTCAAATAGTCCAATCGAGTTTGACTTTAGAAAAATTATGTATATTAAAAATATAAACAATTTGCGCTGATTAAATTGGTATCATGTGCTTAGATAAGCTATATAGATAGATAACACTATCAAGATACGGCACTAACACAGATAAAGTCAACACTTTTAGACATAGCGAACTGATTTAGTTAATTGTAATACACAAAGTGAATTATATTAGGAAACACCTGTTATTTTTTTTTTTTTTTTTTAAGACATACTCGTAAATTTGAACACATATTGTTTTTATTTTCTGCAATATTCAGAGATGCCTTAAACAACCTTCATTACTTAGATATAGTATTTTATTTACAAAAACCTAACAACAAATTAGACATAAATTTAACATTTTTCCAAGGCTTTAGTTAATAGAGCATTCATTGTTGTCAAAAGTGTACGGGGATCCTCTGCTAGTCCAGCGCCTACCATTGCATTGATGAATAATTGTTGAACCAATAAATCGGCTAGTTCTTGATCGCTCGTTTTCAATGCGTACAATTTTTTAACGATTTCATGCCTGAATAGACGAAAAAAGAAAGAAAAATTAGATGAGATGAACTGATAAAGGAAACCATTTATAATTTACTTTGGATTAATTTCCAGCTGAGGTTGCAACAGGGCATAACGATTCTCTTCAGGCAATTGATGACTCTGGGTTTTGATAAAGTGACGAGCAGCTGCCATTTCTTCTACAGTGACCACACATGGATGGCTATCAAGTCGTGTTGTAACTTTCACATTTGCCACCTTGCCTTTGAGCTTGTCCTTAATCCATGGCAATAGTTCATCAATCTGTGATCGTAGCAAACTTCCCTCTCCATATTCAATGGTGGATTCTGCGCCGCTATCACGTCTCATTTCCTTTTCTACAGAGACTAAATTCTTTCCCTTGAACATTCCCAATTGCATGAGTACAAGTTCATCGTATGGTTCATAGCAAAATAGAACTTCGATATCACGTTTCTTCAAATTCTCATAGTATGGGGAAGATTCGGCCAGAACACGATTTGGTGCAGCCAAGTAGTAAATGTCTTTTTGTTCGCCAACATTTTTTGCATAGTCGTCCAGGGAAATGCGTTGACCTTCTGTGCACTTTGACGATTCAAAACGCAGTAATTTGGCAATATCTTCCTTTTCGTTTTGATCGTACGATGTTACAATGCCTTCTTTAAGAAATAGTCCATAGTCTTTGTAGAAGGCTTCATATTCTGCTGGTTGCTTATTCGATTTTTCAATGAGGAAGCGAATAATTCTGGTGGTCAAGACACTTGAGAGTTTCCTGCAAAATAAAAAATAACAATTTTTAAACATGATCTTTATTTCTGTAATTTTATTCCTTACTTGATGAGAGCTCCGTTTTGAAGGAGTTCTCTGCTCAAATTCAGAGGAATATCTTCCGAATCTACAACACCCTTGACAAATCTAAGCCACTTTGGTACCAAGTTTTCTGTTTTAGATTGAATAAGGATTTTACGGGTGTACAAGGAAACTCCAGCAGAACCATCGCGGGTCATTTCAAATAATCCTGGTTTACCTTCAGGGAAGTACAGCAAAGCACGGATACTGAGAGGTACATCGGTCTAAAAGAAAACACAATACTAACTTAAATGTTTGTTCCAATACAAATAACTATTGGTACACCTACCTTATAATGCAATACAAAACGAGGTGTATCAAAAGTGTTACCAATGAAGCGATAGAATTCATCATGTTGTTCTTTGGTAACATCTTTAGGTTCCATCAACCAAACAGGTTGTATATCATTGGCCTTCTGTCCGTTCAACAATATTGGCGATCCTACGAAATTACTGTATTTCTTGATGACAGCCATTACACGATCTTCATCAGCGTATTCCCGACATTCTGGTTTCAGATGAATGACAATTTTTGTGCCTAATTCAACACCCTCAGCCTCTTGAATCTCATAACTACCAGATCCATCGCTGGACCAGCACAGACCAGGAGAATTTACTTTGGATGATCGTGTGAATACCTCAACTTTATCAGCCACCATAAAAGCAGAATAGAAACCTACACCAAATTGACCGATAATGTTAGAGGAGTTTTCAGCCGTTGTGCCCTTCTCACGAATCTGCTCAAGGAACTTCTTCGAGCCACTGCGTGCAATGGTGCCCAAATTATTGATAAGTTCCTCTTTGGTCATGCCAATACCAGTATCTTGGATAATCAATTGTCTGTTGGTCTTATCTGTGGCAATTCGAATTTCCATGGAGCGATCTGTACCCTCATAGTCTTTTTCAGTTTCGCCGGCCGTATGGATTGTATAACGAAACTTTTCCAAAGCATCGCTGGCGTTCGAAATGAGTTCTCTAACAAACACTTCGTTTTCGGAATACAATGAGCGTGCCACGATATCCAACAGCATCCGTGTTTCAGCCTGAAATTCATGTTTGTCTGCTGTGCCAATGGGCTTTTCAGTTTGACGAATCTTTTGAGCAGTAGAAGTTTCCGCCGAACACAAATAACGTCTGTTACATGATATGGTCTGAGGTGCAGCAACTATGGCTCTGGAATAAGACTTGGGTGTGATTGCATAACGTTGTAAAACATTTGCACTGGTGGTGGTTAGTCGCAAGAGTCGAGCAGCAAACGACATTATGGTTTTGTTACTTAATTTAGATCACTTAATTCAGGAAATATTAATAAATCCTTTTATTATGTATCTAGCACAAAGACGGCACGTTGTTTCTTTCTTTGCGGCAACAACAACAAAAACTTCTTATCAATGGAAATTAAATATGCGGGGTTTTACACTGTTGGTGATTGGGATTGGTGTTGATAGTTTTTTCTCCCTCTCATTGGTAAATTGGAATAGAGTTGGAAAACATTGTCACAGGTAGGAACAAAAAAGTACATTAATTTTACTTCAAATGATAATAAATCATAATTATTGAGAAATATTGGCCAACATTTATACCAGTTATTTGCATAAATAAAATATGTTATAATTTAAGCCTGAATGTATTCACGAATAATAAAGAATATCTACTTTTTGTTCTGTTTTTGTTTATGTAAATTCGTACCTTTTGTGAACAAAAAGTACGATTGTTACAAAATTAAAAATAGCGCAACTCTAATTACTCTCTCAAGAGAGAGAAACTCTCAACACCGATCCCGATAAATATAAAACCACGCTTATCATTAATTTCATTCACTTTGAATGGTGTTTCCTTTCTAGAAATTACACATGATACGGATATGACATGACTGAAAGTAGTCTCATTTATTTATATTTACGTAATATATGTGGTTAAAAGTTCAAATAATTTAATTTTATGGCAATTTACATGTCAATTGTACACATTTTTATTCAAAAATAATAAGAATTTATACATCGGCAATCCATATGTAATCATTTAATAGTGATTGTTAGGTGAACCTATAGTAACCACGTCTGTCATATAATATTCACTTAAAGATTCCCGAAGTTAAAAAACTGCTTTTGTCCTAAAAATATATTTCTATATTAACTAATCAACACGGAAGCCTCAGCATTTTATGTGAAAAAATACAGTTAAAGAATCGCCCACTAGTTCACCTATAATAACCACGTCTGTCATATGCCATTATACCCTTAAAGATTTTCTACTAACATGTTCCCAAAACAAAAGGCGGTTTTTGTCCTAAAAATCTATTTCTATATTATCTAATTCACGAAATGCCCAAATCGATCTGAGGGTGAAAAAATACACACAAAGTTTTGTGTGCGGAAACAGACATAAATAATAAATAATTGTATAATTCACTGCAAAATACTAACAAGATAATATGCGTATATGCGAATTTGCAATGTGTGCTTGCTGCCTTATAGTGTAGCCACCACTTTTTGACATATGACAATTTGCGCTTATGTGTGTGTATGGGTGATAATACATCAGCCGAGCAATCATCAAGCAAGCTAGCGTGCTTATTGTGTAAATTAATTAAATATTAAAAAATCTATTGAAAAAGTAATTAATATTATTGACATAAACATAATAAGAGTATTATTTAATATTTGGTGTATTGTTGACATATTTAAGAATTGTGTGATGCTTTTTTTATTTACAACGTTATGTAACAAAGAGCGAAGGGGTGTCTGTCTGTCCGGCTTGTTGTTTTTTCTTCATGGTATTATGGAATTTTGACGGTGTTTTTGAATAAAATGTGATTTTTGCAAAGGCTGTTGTCGGTGATTCTAGAAGATATTCTGGAAATGATGTAATGTTACAAATTCCTGGCGAAATTTACTTTGTATTGAAATTTCCAATAGAAAGTACACCTATTGAATTATTGACATTAAGTTGGTTACGGAAACATGCAAAAATTGTTTTATAATATATAATACCACATGGAATTGAAAATAAGTAGTCATATTTGGGGAAGAAATATTAAAAATTGTCTTGTGATTTAAAAAACAGATTAGAAATATAATTCGTATAAACTGAAATTTGAAAAAATGAGATAACAAATCGAATTCTTTATTCCATTCAAAACAATCTAATTTTAGAATTATATTTCATTACAGCGCACACCTACACACACATTTAAGCAATGGAGGAGTACGCCAGAGAACCTTGCCCATTCCGGATAGTTGATGATTGCGGCGGCGCATTTGCCATGGGTTGTATCGGTGGCGGTGTATTTCAAGCTATCAAAGGTTTCCGTAATGCTCCATCCGGTATGAGCCGCAGAATGCTGGGCAGTCTGTCGGCAATTAAGACCCGCTCGCCTGTCATTGCTGGTAACTTTGCCGTATGGGGTGGTATGTTCAGTACAATCGATTGCACATTGGTACATTTCCGAAAGAAGGAAGATCCATGGAATTCGATTATAAGTGGTGCAGCCACAGGCGGTATTTTGGCGGCAAGAAATGGTGTCCCTGCCATGGCTGGCAGTGCTATTATTGGTGGTGTTCTATTGGCCCTCATTGAAGGTGTCGGCATTCTATTCACAAGACTTTCATCCGAACAATTCCGAAATCCCTTACCGCCAACCGAAGATCCAAGTGCGTTAGGTGCAGCTGGTTTTGGCCAACCACAGGGCAGTCAGGGACAGTATCAATAAGCATAGCTATCGAGAATATACCTAATTAAATTATCCGTACTTGTAATTAGAAACAAACTAATCTGTTTACCAAAATTAACATAACATAATTAGCATAAGGATGTTAAGAATGTATTTAAATCATAATACTTATAATAATTACTAAACAAAAACATAATAAATAAATGAAAATAATTTGACATACATTTTAATGGAATGTGTTTATTCTTTTTTTTTTGTGACTTTTACTATGGAAATATGTGATATATTAATAATTCGAAAGAAACCAAAAATTTTGCAAAGTTATGGTCTGTTCCATAACTGCCAGAATCTACTAGATTTTACCATTTTTTGGATATCATAAAAGAAATTTTGTTATGGGAGTGAAAATGTATAATTTTTGTTTTTGTAAACGTATAATAAATATTCCATTCCTTCAATAACTTTAGTTGTGTCAGTTCTTGGACTTTTCCATTAATCTGTTATTAATGTAGGGTATAGCACAAGCTGGCGACAAAAATTCTCTCTTTGAACGTTCACAATTATAATGCCAATTTTCTGTTATATAGCATAAATATATATTTATATTGTCAATATGTAATATGTAAACTTTAGAATTCCCTCTAAACATCTGTGCAAAAATTATAAAAATCGGTTAAGAATTCGCTGAGTTATTTGCATTTGAATTGAATTACATTTTTTATAAAAACGTCAATTATATGTCAAGCCGTTGTCTTTTCCATAATTATGTGCTTTATGTGGGGTATAGAACAGGTTGGCGACATCGGCAATACTACTCTGTGTACATTTAATAACAAAATTGGGCGATATTTTACATATCTTTGAACTTTCATATAATGCACATTTTCTCATAGATAACACAAGTTTATACGCTTATTGTTGGTATGTAATAAACCTTTGGATTTCCCTCTAAACATCTGTGCAAAAATTATAAAAATCGGTTAAGTTTTCGTTGAGTTATTTACATTTCAATTCAACCATGTTCCAAAATATACTTACTGTTCGGTGCTGGTCGCCTATTACCTGAAAATGAAAATTCACACAAAAATCGAGTTTTTAAAAGCGGCAAATTTTTGTTTCATAGTGGCTGCTGGTTTGTTAAGAAATGTCTAGCATAATTGTAGGCTGAACACAGTCCCTGAACCTTTTTTTCATGATTGTCTTCTAATGCCTATAGCTTTTTAACAAATTGCTCTATTAACACAAATTAGGTGTCATATTAAAGGGCAAAATGTGGTCTTTATTATAGTACCGACAAATTTTATTTCAAAAACTTCTTAGGGTTGTAATTTTTAAAGCTATATTTAAAACAATTTTCCGTATATAACATTTCATATTTATTAATTTATGAACAGATATCGAAATAGCTAGAGTTCAGACCTTTCATATGATACCAATTTCATTACTGTCCTCCAAGTATTTCTAATGTTAATAGATTTTAAATAAAATCTTAAATTTTCCGTTTTCGCCATTTCGTTCTACTGCATCAATAGATGGCGCCCCAGTCGCAAAATTGACAGGTCTTAAGGGAAAATCAAGGCATTCATAAAATGTAAATAACTTTTGAGATACTTGAAATGTAGTCATAAAACTGGTATCATATGACAGGTCTGAACTCTAGCTATTTCGATATCTGTTCATAAATTTATAAATATGATAAGTTATGTGCTAAAATTAGTTTGAAAGTATACATTTCAAAATTACAACCTGAAATAAGTTTTTAAAATAAAATTTGTTAATACTATAATAGATGCAACATTTTGCTCTTTAATATGACTCCTTATTTGTGGTAATAGAGCAATTTGTTAAAAAGTTATAGGCATTGGAAGACAATCCTAAATAAAAGCCCACAAAGGGCCAAGGACTGTGTGTTGGCCTAAAAGTATGCTATACATTTCTTCACAATACAGCTTCCATTATGAGACACAAATTTGCCATTTTTAAAAAGTAAATTTTTGTGTGGTTTTTCATTTTTGGGTAATAGGCGACCAGCACCGAACAGTAAGTATATTTCGGAACACGGTTGAATTCAAATGCAAATAACTCAGCGAATACTTAACCGATTTTTATAATTTTTGCATAGATGTATGGAGGGAAATCCAAAGATTTATTGCATACCAATAATAAATATATAAACTTGTGTTATATATGAGAAAATGTGCATTATGTAAAAGTTCCAAGATATGTAAAATATCGTCCAATTTTTTTGTTATATGTGCACAGAGTAGTATAATCGATGTCACCAGTCTGTGATATACCCTACATATAGCAAAGATTAATGGAAAAGTTGACGGGTTGCCATATAACCGACGTTTTCATATAACATGAAATTAAATTCAAATCCAAATAACTCAGTGAATACTAAAGCGATTTTTATAATTTTTGTAGATATGTTTAGTGTGAAGTCAAAAGTTTTTAAAATATTGACAATAAATGTATAAGTAAGTTCAAAGATATTTTAAATATTGACAAATTGTCTTTGTTAAGAAGACGATGCAAGATTTATGGGAGGCAATATCATAATAATCTGGTATCGATAAGATCTAGGATCTTGTGGTTGTTTAAAAAAAAAATTGTATTGGTAAAAAGGCTTTGAGACCCACTTTTTCAAGTCCACCCAAAATTAATAGTATTGAAATAAAACTACAATATTGTTTGTAATATACCGTTTATTATAGGGAAATTGGGGTTTATTTTTTTGTTTTTTTTTTTCGTGGGTATTGGATTGATGATTACTACATACACATATTTATTATTAGAATTATTATTATTATCATTATTAAATTTAAGTAGTACTCTTTTGTTATTATATAAGAATATGTCAAGTTTTGCTTTTGTATTGTTTTTAATTCTCTTAAATTTAAAACTAAGATTAATACACTTTCTACAATTGTTGTTGTTGGTATGATAATTTAATAATGAAATATATTGGCGACTTTGTGTAACCATAAAATATATAGAGATACATTTGGAAAATGTATGGGAGAGGTAAAGATTAGAAAGGAATGAAATTTGTTTGTGGGGGCCTTATCATCCGGGCATTTAAAACAAAATTAAATAGAAAATTTCAAATTTCCGAATTAGCATCGATTTTCTGTTTAGTTTTTGTTCTTTGTGAAAAAATACCTAAGGTTGAAAATTTTGTTATTTTTTGTTTGTTTATTTTTTTTTTTTGTTTATAAATTCTATTAAAATTTCTTTATATTCCCATGTTGTTGCTTTGTTTTTTTGTTGTCTTGTTTGTTTCTTGTGTTCTTTTGGGTTTTGTCTTTTGAACTTGTTTAAATGTTTTCTTTCTATGTCTATGTGTTGTGTTGTTGTTGCAAAATTTGTTCTTGAGGTAGTTCTTAGATCTTTATTTTTATTTTATATATTAAAAATAAAAATTATTCATTTTCATTTTTGTCAATATAAACACTGGTTATATGGGAGTTTTGTTGTTGTTTTTTGTTTATATAAGGGATTTGTTTGTGCTTCATTTTTGGTGGGGGGAGAATGTGGAGGAATAGCAGGATGGATCAGTGGTTACATTTTGGTTTGGGGGAAAAAATGTTTATTTTGATTTAGTTGTTAGATGATGTTCCGTTTAAAACAAGAAATGGGTAATTAAATTTATACATACATACATATATCGGTATGTAAGTAGATTCTTTTTGGGGCTTTTTTCACTTATCCACACAAACATTTAGGCAATTTACAAATGAAATCGGTTGTATATCTAATAATTATCTTATATGATGACAACACTCATCATCAATATTATATAAAAGTAAAAATTGCTCTCTGATTGATTTTATTAATTTGCCAGATTGTTTTTTTTTTCAGAAATTTAGAAAAATGAATTGCTTAAATTGATTGTTAAGTTGTTTTTTTTTATTTTCATCAATGTATGTAAGACCGCTACTGATTGTTTAAAAAAAAACGAAGGCTTAATATTTTTCTGTGGTGTGCGCTACATTTTCTTGTCCAAGTCGGCATAGTTTTACATTAAGGAGTATAGCGTAAAAAAACATTACACTTCAATGAAATTTTTTTTAATGAAAATTATGATCGGCTGTAAAACATATTTTTAAATTTAATTAAATTAAATATGAAGATGATAATTGGAAAAAGGATAATCAATTTAAGAAAATGGTAATGTTTCAAAAATCAGCATTAAAAAAAAAAATAAAACAAGGCAGTTGTAAAAATATTTTTAGCAACAAAATGAATTTCACTGGATGTATTGATGCCATACTCATATTTGAAGTACGTTCATTAAAGCATTCCCAATAAAAAAATAATTATAAAATAATTATACTATAGTCCTTAATGCATAATAACATGGATATTGGAAGTTTTTTTTTTTAATTAATCGTATTTAGATATTATGCTGATACTTACGAATTATTACTACTACACAGACATTTATATATATAATTGTTTTCCGTTATTTTTCCGATAATGTTTTTTTCTTTTCATTTTGTATAAATTGTATGTTGCTGTAGTTTTTATGTGATATATGCAAAGTACTTTTACAATTATTACAGTTAATTTATTCATTATGATTTGTTTAAGAATAATTCAGTCATAGTTTTTGTATGCTTGTTTTGTTCTTTTCCGATGATCGATCGATTTTCTTTTCAATATTTCTTTTGCTTTATTTTTTGGCAGTGTTTAATTCCCTTTTATACTTTTTTCTTTAATCTTTCCCAAGTACAGTTATGTGTTCTTCTGTTTTCAATTGTTTTGTTTTTCTTAGCTTGCATTTTAGTCGAAAATGATTTCCCTTAATAATGTAAGACACGCTTTATCATTTAAGAGTTCATGTGTCAGTGTTTTAAAATATGTTTTTTTAAGATTATATACGACGAAAAAGGCACCAAAAACAAAAACAGACAAAGCAAAATAAGAAATAATTATTTTAAGTAAAATAAAATAAAATTATATAAGACAAATTTGTTTAAAAATATTTATATTTATTGTTTTTTTTTTTTTTTTGTTACAATAAATTTAAAACTAAATTAAAAATTAAATTAAAAACCGATTCTTTTCTTTTCATTAAAAAAAAAAAACAGAACCATTTGACTAACACTGTCAGGCAAACTAGTTTTAAAAAAGCTATTAAGAATAATAAAAATATTTATTTTTCATTTTAAAACTTTTGCATATTTTAAGATAATATAAACTTAAATCAAATATTTCCTTTAAATTTAGTTTTTTGTTTTGTTTAGATATTTGCATTGTTGTGGCAGAATGTTTGTTTTCTATTTACATTAAGTTATGTATAGTATTTGTTTTTTTTAATTAAAACTATAAATTTTATTTATATTATACAAATAGATTTTCTAAACAAATTATTAAAAATTATACAATTTCTCTACATCAGAGATCAAAAAATAGGGGTGTTGTTCATTTATTTTGGGTTTGGTAAAAAGCAAGATTTCGTAAGGAATTAAGTCCGGGGGATTTAAAAAATATTGGATTTGAGAAAAAAGTTACACGTGAACATTTAAATGATGTTGAAAGAGTGAAAACGTTTACACCTTTATATTATGTAGTTGATATATATTTCAACCTCATGCGTAAGCAAATGAACCCAAGTACATTTATGAGCCAATAAAATAAATTTGTTGTAGCATATTTGGGAATAGTTTGATTTTCAATAAAATACCCTTTCGTTTTTCACAATAATACTTTTTTGTGTTCCCTTGTCAATGGACATATTTTAGGTTAAATTTCAGAAAAGTAGTTAATCAGAAAACATTAAAGCCCTTTTATGTATCTTAAATTTCAAATCCCTCTCCCCGGACAAAAAAAAAATTTAATGCAATTATATTTATTTTAGACGTTTTTTAATGTTTGCCCTGTGTTAAGCTTTGAAAACAATTTTATAGCGAATCGTAACATAAAACCAAAATGTGAGAAACAAGTCTGAATAAATGTTCAAAATTCCATTTAAAATTATCATGTATACGATAGTTTGTATTTTTGGATAAAGTTGCTTGTTCTCAATTTATTTTTAAAACAAATAAATGAAAATCATTTTGTTTTTCTTTTTCAAAAAAAAAAAATTATAAACATTTTTAATTTTTTTAGTTGTGTCGTTTAATACAATCTGTGTTCATTAATTAGGCTAAATTAAACAAAAGAAAAATTAAATATATATTTCACATAAAATATAAGCAAGTCTTATTATGGTTGGAGTTTTGTTTCTAGGCAGGTTTTTTTAAGAAAAGAATAAAACATTAAATTAAATAAAAAAAAACAATTATTAAAAATAAACATCGACATCATTTGGATGGTGGGATATAGACTTTTTTAAATGTGGAGTTGGCCTAATGTTTTTTGTACAAAGCATAATTGTGTAGATGATGTATTTTGTTATAATACAAACGAAATTAAAATAAAGACGACTCTGCTTTCAACTTCATTCTACACAATTTGAAAATGGTTGGTTGCTAATGATTGTGATTATTATATGTTACTATCGTCTTGTATCGATTCTTATGTAAATGTTATATACATATATGTTTTTGTGTTCTATATAAATTATATTACTACTCTATTACTAGCTAATTATTTTATTTAGTTTATTTTTGTATTTATTATTGAATGAAGGTATTGTTTTTATTTTTCTTTTTTATTTTTTCATATGGCAGTGATATATGCCTATCGATTTATGCACACACATTGGACTTATTAAACTACACAAAGGGGGAAAACTATACATACATATTATTATATCTTCTTAACGGACCTGCTTGCTATTAATCGCAAACAAGTCTTATACCTTGTCACTGTTGCTCGTTTGTCTTTCGAATTGCAAAATATTTTGGGGGCTTATTTTTTTCTTAGAACTTAACTAGGTTATTTCTTATGTTGTTTATGGATTGTTTGTTGTACAAAATATCTAAAGGATAATATTTACAAAAATAAAATAAAATAAAAAATAATAACACGACTAAAAGGAAATACTTCTTTTTACAGCACCACTTGGTATTTGAAGAGTCTGTCTGTCTGCCTGCCTGCCAGGCGGAGAAGAATATACATGGTTTGGTTGGATTGCCAAGGAAGAGGTGTAGGTCGTCTTAGACGACTTAACGTGTAATTGTTATGCGATTTTGTGGTTTTCTCGGATGTTTACGTCTTTGTTGCAATTGTATATTTGTTATTGAGAGAACATGCTGGTAACTGGATATCGTTTCAGTTGTGGTTGTTGCATCCTCATCATCTTTATCCTCATCTTCATCCTCTTCATCATCGTCGTCCTCCTGATCTTCTTCTCCATCATCTCCTTCTTCGTCGTCATCGTCATTGTTACTAGACGAGTCTTTTTCGTTTTTCAAACGTTGATGTTGTTGACTTAGAGCATAATCGTTTTCGAATATTGTAGGGGAATATGGCAGTTTATAGGCAGTCATAAGTAAGCTTTCAACCTTGTTCTTTTCGGCAGGTTTCATTTGTTTGATGTTGACCGTTTTAAGATATGCCTCCTTGCTTTCTGGCAGCCATTCATCGGAAATTCTAAAAAAAAAACACAAAAAGGAACCATTGAAGATTGTTGTTCGTTTCTCAATCGAAATTAATTCATGACTTACATTTCCCTTGGAGACCATTGGATATAGCACTCAGTTTTGCCACTGGAAGTTTTGCGTTTCATAATGCACTGTCCTTGGAAGGTAATGGAATTGCAGCCATTTGTTAAAGTGGATATTTGCCTGAGGCGATGTTGTAATCCTTCCATAATGCCAGCATCAAAGAAATCAAACATGCGTGCTAAAAGGAGGGTTAAAACAATATTAGCATCATAATATCAATAAATTTTCTAAATTTAATTAAAAATAATCGTCTCTTTGGCATAAATGAAAAGCAAGCTAAACTTATTTCAAACTCACCTGAAAACGGTTGACGTCTGTAGCGTAACTTTTTGCCATTTTTGCGTAATTGTTTTGGTACTGGAGGATCAGAAGTTCGTTTATTTGTACTTTCCTTATTTTCGGTGGCAGTGAAATGATTATTAATGTGTTTTTGCAAGGCCAGCTGTAATTGCAAGAAAAATAATAGCGAAAAATTAGTTTTGCCGCGAAAAAGATATTTCCACAATTGTGTAATTACCTGAGATCCGAAACGTAAACCGCAACCCTCAACAATACATTTAAATTGTTTGGAACCTCCATGTGACAGGACATGCCTTTCCAACCACCGACGTGAACACGACTCCTTGTTATATACTTTGCAGCCAACCCAGAGGCAAGAGAACGGTCCAGTTTGTGAATTGACATGCTGTGTCTGCATGTGATCCAAAAGCTTGGAATTGCTCTCGTGTTTCTTATTGCATTTATCCCAATAGCAGACACCATCCTGACGTTTATTATTTTTACCCAATACGGGGAATCGTATGGTCTTCGGTTGTGACAGTATCGGCGATAGAGCGCATTTCGGTAATTCTGGGGAGCTGGTTTCAGCTAATTTGGTGTCTATGGTTGTGGCCAGAGTTGAACTGGTGTTACTGTTGCTGGTAGCTGTGTTACTTGCACTGCTGAGGAAATCAAATGAAGATTTCTCCGAAGAATCTTCAGATTGTTGTGTCAGTTGCGATGAAGACGTATTGTTTTGGCTTTCTTCCATGCCATTGCTGCTAGAGTCAATGTTCATTGGAGTGGCTGGTGGAGTTTGTCTGTCAGTCGAGGTTGGCGATGGCACCTGTTGTTCCGACGAAGCATCCGATTTGGATGAAGAATCCATACTTTCTGTATTGCTCAGACTGCCACCTATGCCAGATTCTGGTGTGGGCAAATCACGCTGTTTATCCTCGTTATCTTCGGGCGTTTTCAAGCCATCTCTGGCCTGCTTGCCATCCTCATTTTCCGGCATGGATACACTGATACTGGCCTCTGAAGAGTTGGATGATATACACGTTGAGGTAACCATTTCGCTGAGCATATCTCGTGACGAAGCCCCACCGCCCGTTTCACAGGAATTCGAATCTCCAGCCGAGTTGGAGTTCGAACATGGATTGGTAGATGTAAATTCATTATTGCTGCTATTTAGAGGCGACAAAATTGAGCATCCTGGTGATGGAGCTTCGGAACTGCTCGTTATCGATGCTGGCGTTGACGCTTCTAAGGAGAGATCAGCAGCAGATGATATTGAATTGGAATTGGAAGTAAACGATGATGAGGAACATTCATTATTTATATTGCTAGGTTGAGGGGAGCTGGATTTTTCGGAAGACGTTGAAACCTCTTCCTCTTTGGTTGACGTCGGTGTAGCTATCAACTCCTCTTTGACCAGCACATTATTCGAGGCGGGAATTTGTCCGCTGAAACTTGTAGGCGTCTCACTGATTACCGGTTTTTCCTCCGATACAGTTGGTGGCGCAACCATCATTGGCGTATTATTACTACTACTATTGCCAGTAGAAACAACTGTTTGTGCCGGTGGCATATCATCCATAGGTTCATCTTTAATTTTTCCAAAGTTCTCCAACGGCAACATAGATTTAAATGTATTGAAGGAGGTAGCCGATGACGAGGAAGTGGAAAAATTGAGGGGAGCACTAAAGCATTGTGTGGAACTAGTTACATTTGGCGATGTTACAGGAGCAGCGGGAGTTATACTTATTGCTCCATTTGAATTCTTAACCAAATCGAAGAGATCGGATGCAGTGGTTTTGCTAATGGCGCCTTTTGATTTTCCTGTATTGCTGCTGTTGCTGGCCATGCTGGTCAGATATGAGTTAGTGGTTGTTTTGTTGTTGGCGCTGTTGTATTTGTTGTACGAAGATGTTGATGATGTTAACGACGACGAGGTCGGTGTCGATAATAAACTTGGCGCAGTAGTAGTTACGGTCGTTGTAATTTTTGGTGCTATATTGACCAGATTCTTCATTGGACCGGATAAAGTCGTTGCTGGACTGATGGTTACACTGCCACATGTTATACTTTGAACCGGTTTGGGGGCAATCGGTGTAACATTTGTGGGTGCTATACTCACTAAAGCCGGTGTTGGAATTTGAGAACTTTTTGATAGATTTGTAGCTGTAGTTGTCCTTATGCCAGGAGCAGGTATTGTGGTTAGGGCAACTGGTTGTTGGACACTTGGGGTGATGGTGGGTACCAAGGGCGGCGGTGTTGTCGGTGTGGCAATAATTTTCCCACTGGCTGTTGTTATTTTTCCCGTACTGGTAGTCTTGGTCGAATTTCCCAATGAGGATTTCACTTGTTGGGATTGTGCCTTTGGAGATCGCTTTTGATAGGGCTTTGCCATTATTGAAGGCTTTTGTGTGGCAGTGGACGTGTTAGAAGACGCCAGCGAATGTGTGCGTGGTTTCGCATTCGATATGGTAACTAATGGCGGCGGCTGTGAGCTCAACGTCGTGTAAGCAACAGGCGAAGTGTTGGCCTTAACTATGGCCAATTTGGCAGTGGTCGTGCTCTGTTGTTGAGCTGCAATCGATGCGGCACTCACTGGCGTAATTTGTGCGGACATACTGTTATTCGAGATATTAACGGTGGTAGTGTTGCTATTGTTGTTCGTGGAACTATTGCTGTTGTTGTGCGTTAAGTTGGATGCATTGGCGGCTGTTGGCAAAGTAACTGATGACAATGGCGGTGGTTGGGTGGCTGAGATGAACTGCTGCTGCTGTTGTTGTGCCAATGCCAATTGAGCGGCCAAATGCTGTTGTTGCATATCGTGTTGTTGCTGTTCATTTTGGTGATGTTGCTGCTGCGGTGGCTGAGGAGCAAATATGGAACTTAAAGCTGGCAGCGGAGTTTGCTGTATGGGTTGTAAAGCTGGCAGTGCTATTGTTTTCTGCTGTTGGTGAGCCTGCTGCTGTTGCTGTTGAGTATTCACGGCCAAAGCAGCTGCTGCCTGCGCCAACATTGCCGGCAAGGATGCGGCATTGAGAAGCAGGCCTGCTGGTGTGGCCATAAAAACTGGCTGTTGTTGTATATTGGCCGCAGCTCCCAATCTCTGCAACTGTTGCAGCTGAACTTGTTGTTGCTGCTGTTGATTGGCTGCAATTGCTGCTGCTATTTGTTGTTGGAAAATCTCTTGGAAACTAGCAGCGGCATTTGTTGTGGCTTTTTGCTGTTGTTGTTGCTGCTGTAGCTGTTGCAACTGCTGTTGTTGTTGCTGTTGCTTTATCAACAAATCCTGCAAATCGCTGGCACTCAGTAAATTGAAAGGATTCATATTTCCCGCCGAAGCCGCCGTGGCAGTAGTTGTTGTAGCTGTGGTGAATTGTTGCAGCTTAAAGACAGTTCCATTGAGGAAATACTGTGCCGCTGCTTGAGCAGCCTGAGCCGATGTGGCAGAGTTAGCTGCTGGAGCAGTTGGTGTTGGTGCCGTTGTGGTTGCAACGTTTTTCGCAACAGCTGCTGCCGTAGCCAAATTATTCAATTGCATAATATTGGCTCCATTGGCAGCCAAGAGTTGGGGAAGCTGGACTAGATTGGGCAACTGAACGGCTGGCAATTGATACAACGTTGTTGCAGGTGCAGCTGTGGCAGTCGTCGGAGCAGGAGCCGTACTCGAGGTAGCTGCAACCGAAACACTTGGTGCAGCATTCACAGCAGCCGATGGGCTGGCACTGATTTTATTTGTGGCAATTGTTTGTTTTGTTTGGTTAGTGGTAGCTGGGTTGGTCTGTTGGCCAGGTGGTAGTCTTATGGCTGTTAAAAGAACAGCTGGTTGCTGTGTGGGGGATGTATTGTTGTTGGCCTGTTGCGATGTGGTTGTTGGCGTACTGGCCACGGGTGACTGTTTCGCATTGTCTTGTTTACTTGCCATAAGCTGTTGCTGCTGCTGTTGTTTCATTTCGGGAGTCCTCGGTGCAATGGCAACATGCTTCTTGGCTGGCGATTTACCGCTAGCCGTTGTTTGGTTGCCATACGAATTGGTCGAAGGTGTTTTTCTTAGATTTGGTGCAACTTGAGCAATTTTTGTGGGTTTCGGCCGCTCAATTTTCTTAAGGGCCGGCATTGGCATGGGTGTTACCGAAATATTTTGTGGCTTGGTGGTGGTTATCGTAACGGCTGTATTGCTGAAACTGGTTGTTATCGTCGGCGCCATAGGAGGCGGTGGGGCTGAGACAGAAATTGTTGTGGTTTGTGTAGAGCAGGCTTGCAGGGGAGGTGTTGTAGTTGCAGTGCTGGCATTCGGCTGTGTTGTTCCGACCGCAGCAGTGTTCGCACTATTTGTAGCACCATTACTGGCCGCCTTGTTACTGTTTTCTTTCAGCTGGGCCAATATATTAAAATATTTGTTAAGGGAAGCCGTTGTGGCCGGTGCACTCATGGTTAACGCATTTGTGGTCATTGTGCTATTTTGGTGATTCGAACTTGTGGCCGTTGTTGTCATCATAACACTTGTATTGGAGATAGATTGCAGACCCTGTCCATTTTTGCTATTGGCTGCATGCATTTGTGCCTTCATTTGAGATTTGAAGTAGCCGGTGATTTTTGTTTGAGACTCCTCCAGAGCAGCAGCTTTCAGTCTTTTGGCTCCGCCAGCTGATATGGCATGATGATTATCGGGTTGTGATGTGTTTGCATTGGAGCGAGGCTTCTTTGGTGCAGTAACCGAATCATTGGGTCCACCATTGGCATTGGAAGCAACACGCTTCTTGGAAAGATTTGAAGCATTTGTTGTGGCCACAGAGCTTTGTGTTATATGTGTATTTGTACCTGTCGTTGAGGTGGATGCTGGTGATGAATATGCCGCAATAGATGATGATGATGCTGGTATCGATGATGAAGATGTTGATGTGTTACCTATGCTGGTGGCAGTTGTACTCCATGGCCATTGTAATGTGGGTAAATTTGAACATCGATTTGTATTGGCAGTGTTTGAAACTTTTGATATTTGAGTTAGGGATGTTTTCGCCCTATTCCCGTTGCCATTTGTAGGAGTGATGGTAAGGGATGCGGGCAGATTACTTGTTCTAATGGCAGCATTCAATGTCGACGATGTGGTCGATGATGACGATGAAACAACATTGCCGCTGGGCGCTGTTGTACCTGTATTGGCTGTCGTGTTACTACTGCTAGCAACGAGTATTGTTGTTTGTGGTGACATTTTGTTGGTGTTTTGAATATTGGTTGATTGCCTTTGATGTTGCTGATCGTCACTTAGAGTTGAATGTTGGCTATATGGAGAGCCGGGCTCGGAGGCATCTTCACTTGAACAGCCTGTACTTGAATCTGTGCAACTTGATGTTGCAACACCACTAAAAGAAAAGAACAATATAAAAAATAATTATTAAACAATTATGGCAAACACAATACAAAAATAAGGAGGTATTGGAGAATATAGTAAGGATGGATGTAGAGTCAACAAACAATTGTTACTTTATACTTGGACAGGACAAGTTGTATCGCTCCTGAACGAACCAGTTCAATAATAATATTCACTGAAAGGAACCACTTATTATGCTACGAATATGGATAGAAAAGCAAATAATTGCCAATAAATGTGATCGTAAAGCAAATAAACCAGAAGTATACATTGTTTACGAATTCGGATAAAGCAGAATGGGCGTTAATATTTTGTTTGGAATGAAGTGTAATGAAGGAATACGAATAGGCAATCTTCTTCTTCTTCCTCTAAAATGCATTGCAATGATAACAAAGGTCAGCGCAAGAGTTGGTATTTTAAATTACACTTATATTTAAAAAACATAGATAATTTGTAATACATTATTACGCACATTTATATACGAAAAGTTCTATTTCAACATGTTGCCGCGGACTAATAAATAAAACACAAGACAACACAATGAAATTGGCGCCTAAAAGTAAACCACACATATTTTCTCATGCTGTCAGTTCGGTGTGAATTTCATCGGACAGCGTTTCATCAACTGTATAAAGAGCGCTGAAAGCTATGCTTAAAAATTGAATATTAAAACAGCAGAACCATTGTATCTGGTTTTGTGACTAAAATATAACGCTTAAATAATTCTAAAATACAGAACTCTTAAAATGCTTGTAGACATAGCATTTGATTTCCAATTTGCACTCTAGTTAATAAAAATTATGGCGCCCAAATAAATAAAGAATATTAAAATTTTACAGTTACTACCTTGTACATCTGTTTGTAGAATACCCTATATATTGGGAATAGAGACAATATCCGAATTTGTTGTATTATTCATCAATGGTTAGAAATTTCGAAATCACGAGGAAAATGATATTTAATTGATTTACTTCTGTCCTGAGTTTTCAAGACGTTTAACAACTTTGCTTCTGTCACAAAGAAAAAGGCACATCACATGCAAGTAGGACATCGAAAAAATGGAGTTTATATATTGATATCTCGTTTGTATAAGGATAACGAAGAACAAATTGTATCTGGAAATGTCAAACAACAAATAAGTAGTTATGTAGATATGAAATTGATACTCTAGCAGTTTTCACCGAATTTTTAATAGAAAAATTGGTTTGTACACATATTAGAAATCTATTTCGCCTGAATCCTTGTATTGGAATCATGCCTCAGATATGATCAAATATTATAGCCTCAAATTAGAATAACAAAAAATACTGTTTCGAATATATAGAGAATGTAAATATTTGATCCGTCATTAACTACGTTAGAGTAATTATTATTTCAATTAAATCTGTAGTACCTAAAAATCTATTTACATACATACGTATGAGTTATTCATAATGTAATAATTATAATTTGTATACGCCGCGTTGAACAGGTCTGTTAAAAGACTATTAAATCGTAGCAAATTTATTTATGTTTTTACAAATTTCCACATTCTGAAAATATTTTATAAGAGAATTTCCAATATTTGAAATATTACAAAATTCCCGACGGCAAAACTGCAGTATTTCCTATTGTTTTCAAATCCCTTGACTTATATTATACACTGCAAATATATTTTATAGTGTTTGTAATCCAATTTTCTTTAAAAGTCCACAAAAATGTTTTCGCTTTTAGACTGTTTGCACTTTTATTATTATCACAGTGCTCTCGAATTGTTTTGGGTTTCTCACTCTCACATGCATTCACAATTAGAAATAATAAACAAAAAGAGCGGAAAACGATTACTCAATTCAATATTATTTGGTTTTTTTTATTGTTTATGGCTTTCTTTTTAACAACAACACCAATGATAACAACATTTTTATTCGACAAATGCATTTCACAAATACATTTACAGATTTACACTCACGTACACCATAAGCATAGAGAGAAAGAAGACATTAGAAAAAAGCGGTTAAATTTTATTAAGTACTTGGCTTTTGTTGTTTAAGTGATTTATCCTCATTCTTTATAACATTTCTATTCGTTCTTTTGGTACCATGCTTGATCTTGTTGTTGTTGTCGATTTCTTGTAACAGGTAATTGACACTGTGGAAAAAACATTATCAAATTGTTTCCTTATCCCGTTTGAAGAAGCATTCATAGATAGAGTTTGGGTTATACTTTTGTGGCGCGGCTGCACACATTTCTTTTTTATTTTTGTATTTCTTTTTCATGTGTTATTCTTTTATACACGCACACACACACATACATACACACGAACTCACACATAATCACTAAAATGTATTACATTTGTTGTTGTTGTTGCTGTTTTATTTGTCTAACAACCATTGTTGTTGTTATAAGGGTATTTTTAGAAACCACTGAAAAAAGGGAGAGTGATGAGACAGTGTGTGAGAGTAAGAGAACCATTAGAGAGCTGGCACATAAATTGCTATGTGTGTGAGAGACGACACCGTATAGCAGGAGAATGAGCGAGTCAATGTATTTTTTCACACATTAAACAGAACAGGAAGACTTGTTTTATTTTATAACAGGATTTAATGTCCTTAGTATAGATTTTTTTCGGGAAACCTTTACACTGAGTTTTTCTACTTTTAACGCCATCAAAGAGGAGGAGGAGGGAACTTTTCTTAAATTTGATTACAATACTTCCTGGGTTTTCAATGACAATTTAATATCTAGACTTTAAATGATTTTTTTAAATAACTTTTCATATACACTTTTCGATTTTACTCACTTTATTGATTTTGGTATATTTTTTTTTTGATTTTTTATTTGAATTGCTGTGATATTTTTCTTCTTTTGTTTTAAATGAACTTTTTTCTATTCCATGGGATACTTGTGTATTTGTAGTTTATTTTATGTTGTTGTAGTTTTGAGATAGATATTTTTTCTTGTTGTTTTTTTGTTAATTTATTTATGATTATCACTATGATTTAATCCATTTTATGATGCAGCGGCAGACATTTCCAAATAACAAAATAAAAACATGAAACGAATCCCAGCCGTAGTGAGGAAAAACATTTACACGAACACATGTGTGTACTGCGGTTGCTGCTGGCCGTGGTGCGCTTAAAGAATACCGTCCGTTGTGTACACAAAAAAGAGGAAAAAAGAAACCAAGAACGAAGAAGAACTCTCAAATGCCGTAAACTTTCATTTTTCCGCATCCAGCGTCCGTACACAATAAGGGAAAATTTTCGACTGTTTGTATGTTATGTTTTTGGGCTCTTCATTATTAGCGGCGCACCGAACAAACTCACACAGGCACACACACAGCCGCACTCATGCACACAGAGAGCCAACATAAATGCAATCAACATAGCACAGAGCACAAGAATAAACATACAAGTCAGTCGCACTCCAACCAAGGGGAATAATAACAGCAACAACAACAATAAAAACTAAAATTCCCTGCTTTCTACAAGAAGAGAGCCAGGAGCCATACACACAACGGAGAGTAAAATACTACACACTACAACTCTACTCATTTCATTTCAGTACAACTTTAGAACTCTGCAAAGCAAACAACTGAAGAACTGAATGTATGCAATAACAATAACAACCACACAACAGCAACAACAACAACGACTACTACGGCACACTAAATGAAATCCATGGAATACAACAAGAAAAGTGCGTGAGTTTAGAAAATAACAACAGCAACAAAAACGGGAACAAAAAGTATCTACCTCCTGCCAACTATTTTATCACAACAATAAGACTAACAACGGGATTTAATGGTGAACAGCAGAAACCTAAAACAACAACGACAACGAGAGATAGGTACACAGCAACGAAACGGGATGATAATTATTTCCCTGTATTTTTTCTTCTAAATGTAGTTCTTGTTGTAGCTGTAGTATACATGTGGTAAAGTGCAGTGTAAATATTAACGTGTGTGTGTGTGTGTGTGTGTGTGAGCGAGCATATCTATTTTACCTATGAGTTAACCAAGAAGTCGGAGCACAACACTATTGTTGTTTATAAAAGACGGTTGTTGGACCCACTGTGTGGTTGGTGGTGGTGCTGCTGATATGACTGGTGCTAATGCCTCCTCTTTTATTTGGAAGAAAATAAAAAAAAAACACAAAAATGCACCATACAATGCATATACACACAAACACATAGGCATGCATCCATCCATAACACACTACTCGTCGTCGTGTCAGAGAGTCGTCTTGTTTAGTTGTTGTTGTTGTAAAGTTGAACTATAAAACATTCATAATGTTTGGAAATACTAAATGAACCCACATGCTGCTGCTGCTGATGCTATTGTTGTTGTTGTAAAGGAAACAAAAAACCAAATAACAAAAAACCAAAAAAGACAAAAAAGAAACAAAAAATTTAAGCAAAGTTAATATAGAAACGCGAAATATACTAATGAGAATGTATGAACAAACGAAGGAGTCAGGGAATAGCAAGTGGCGGCATACTGCGTCACCAATTAACGAAGAACTCCTCTCGTCGGCCAACAAAGTTTAAATATTTGTTGAACTGAAGGAGAACATAATGTACCCCCATTATATTTTAGGTTATCATAACCTATGACACTGTGCCATATCTTTTGATATTTCTTAAAAAATCGGAGTTATAGAGACTTTCAATTCTCCGAGGTTATTGTACCAATGCCGGCGTATGCCTTACCTACATTTTGAAAGCGCACTTTCTTATTTCCAAGAACCAAACGACAACCCCAATAGTTTAACTCTTGTATTTTTTCCTATGGAAAAATCCAAAATAAATAGGAAAATGTTCATAGAAATTGGTAAAAAATTTAGAAGTAGATTTTTTCGATGTTTTTTTTATGAAATGAAAATATTGGTTTCTATTTTCCTATAGAAAACATAGGTCTTTAGCTAAGTTTTTTATTTAGTTACCGAAAATAGAAATTTAGAAGCTGCTTAGTTGCCAGTAAGAGCAGGGTTTGTTTGTTGAAAAATATAGAAATAGAT